AATAAGTTTACTTACTTTAGTATGAATTGTTATTAAAAATTACTAGTTGTGTCATTCTACATAAATACAGTTTAAAAAAATGTTTTTAACGATAAGATTATTCACTTATAAGAGGAAACATATTTTATATTCCTTTGCTTCTTAAGAATACACGAAATATAAATACTGTATGAAAATTTATATAATTTATCTAATGCAATTATAATTTTCAATTATATTGTGCTTAAGATAGAAACAATTAGATTTTTCAAAGAGAAACTTACTAAATCTATATTTCAACGATTTAATGATATAGTTGATTGGAATATAAATACAAATAGTAATACACATATTACTTTACTTTTTTACAGTTTATTAAAAATTTAATTAAAAAATTAAATGTTTGGCACTTGAAATATAGCTTCGACTTAACGCTTAATTTAATAGAAATCAATACCAACAATTTCATAATATAAAATAACTGAGATATTTAGCTTAACAAAAACATACCTTTCTAAATGTATCCAAGTAAATTAAATAATCATATAAAAATAAACCAAAATAAATACACATTTTTCAGGTCTTTAATAGTCTTATATTATATTTTTCCATACTAACGATCAGTGATGGGGAATATTGGTAGTCTCCGTATAGTTATACAACCTCGATATATACATCTTCCCTTATACGCACGAAGCACCGCTTATAAAAAGGAGAGATAATATCGGGTGCTGAAGTCAACGAATGCTAATTTAAAATAATTTCAATTGCAAAACAAAATTGAATAACCAATTTTCATCGAAGTTTGATCTCTTACTATTCATTTTTAAAATAAACAAAAAGTACAGTCTTAGATTAAAATATTAATTATTTTGAGTGATATAGCAGATTGAGGAAATGTTTGATCTTATAATGATTAGAGTATCTAGTTGCCGATATATATTGTAAAATCTATTATTCTTTTGGAACAAAAAGAGAATACTAAATGAAAACAGGATTAATGAATAATATTAAATTTATATCGTGAGGACAAAATAATATATTATGTTCAATTTAAATTAACTAGTTTACGATCTTTTTTATAAAATTTTTTTATGAAATTCGTATTAAAATGTACAGTGTTTACGAATTTGACAAGTGCCGTAAAAATTCATATTTTATTGAATAAGCGACGGCGTATAAGCTCCAACTACCTTGTGCTTTTTTTCATTTCTCATCCTTAAATTTACGCTATTACATATAATCTGATTTTATCATCGAATTTCAGCCTCAAAATACTATAAAATTTCAGAAAATAACGTCATTTCTGATAACATTTTTCTGAATAGGCGTGAGCAGCTTCAAGCTGTAGAGTAGATAGTACCACATATAGAAAGTGTGAAAATACTTCGTTCAGGAAATCAGATAACTTTATAAATGTTTTTATCGCCATTCCCTTCTCACTGATGCCTCGGACACAGATTCATTTACTCCCAGGAAGAAAATTCTGAAGTGTAGTCCAATATTCTACAATATTACGAGATATTTTTAGATTTTTCAAAGGATATTTATAAAATTTTGATTGTCAACAAAATTTTGTAAAATTTATATAGTCCAGTAAAAACAAAGAAAATGAGCAACATTATTTATATAATATGAAACAAAAGTTAACATTATTGTATATAGTCATTTGTTTAAAACAAAATAAAATTTAATTTAACATTAAAATACATGTTTCGGGTCTTATACGCACAAATAACATACTACAAACTCAAATGTAATACCGAAAAATTCAAAGTTGAGTTATAAGATGGTATACTATTATAAAATAATTATTATTTAGTTCTAATTGTATATAAAATCGTATGATAAAATTAATAATAGAGTTACTAAATATTTTATGAATAGCTAAAGTTAGCTATATATAAATTCTGAAAATAATGTAAGAGTTACGTCTTATAATTTGTCATATTTAATATATGAATTGTTTAATATATTTAATTGTTGAATATACTTAATATATGATGAAAAATGTTAGCTTAGATTTATACAATTTCTAAACTAATATATATTAATTTCGAAATTTTATATAAAACTATACAATTTCGATCATTCGATATTGATAAAACAATAAACAAAATATACTTAACGACTTTAACATTATTACTACTAGAAAGACATTATTACTGAATACAGAGTCTAAGTAAAAAACTAAATTGTTTGGAAGAAGGTACAAGATTTTTACGCATTACGTTTACATTATATGGTGATATACATGTTTGTACACATGTACGCATCTGTGCACATGTGCGTAAAGTTTATATTATATATAATTAAATTTATTTGATAAATTTATGTGAAATAAATAACTATTTACAATCTTTTATAAATTTTGATAGTTTTTATTTATAGTTTTATAATAGCGAATTTAACTTTTAAGATATAAAATTAGATAACTTATTTTAGAATTAAATTAATTTTATAAATATAATAGCTTGATTAAATATGATTTTATTTAATTTTTTATCTTTAAATTTTATATTTATTACTCTCGATATAATATTCCAAGAACTACATTTTATACGAATCTTATCATTTTATTTAGTTTCAAAATAAAATTCATTTTTTTATTTTATTTTGGTTATTAATTTAAAAATTTGTAAATTCTTATTGCATAGATAATTTTTTATAGAATAAAATAATTAAATGCATTATAATAATAACTTTAAAAATGATTAAAATATGTGCTTGTAAATATAGTAAATGGAGTTTAAAATAAAATTTTTATAATTAATAAAAATTTCGTAAAATGTACCCCCAAGTTGGATAGTATATTAATAAGCATACGTTTAAGCGAATTGAAATAAACTTATTTATAAATATACCAGATGATACTTACTGGCACATTTTGAAATTTCCAATTAATTATTAAATGTAAATTATCTGGGCATCATTTACCTTTGATTATCTATCTATCAATATCTATCAATATCAACTATCTATTAATAGTATTATATTACTGAAGTTTAAATTTACGCAGACTATTAATAGATTTTTTTTAATCAATGATTAGCTTAACGATTTTCATCAAAGTCATAAATCTACCATCAATATTAAGATAAATTTTCGTACATAATAGAAGATATGAAAAACATCTATAGCTAATATAAACTTCAAATACACTGTCCATGCAATTAAAGTCGTAATAAAAGGAATGAGTAACATTATTATTACATCGTATCAGCTTCCGTTTCTGATAACTAACTACTTCATTATGATTTGTATTATATAACGTATGTAAGTAGAATCTATGTTCACTCTATTTTATACAAAAGACAATTCATGTAAATGAATTCATGATGAAGTCATGAAAATTCTCTTGAAAACAATTATAAATTTAGATATAGTTTTTACTTTATTCTTTCAATACAAAATTCTTCTTTTATTAATAAGTCGAATTTTTTAAAAATAAAGACAAATTATTTTTATAAGTCAGAAAAAATAAAACACTTGCTATTTTTCGCATTTAGAATTATATACACAATAAGAAAAGAAAGATTATTTAAATTCGACTGTTATTGCTCTATGTAGTATAATATGTAGTTCTTGAATTTCTATCCTCTCTCTCTCTCTCTCTCTCTCTCTCTATATATATATATATATATATATATATATATATATATATATGCACATATAAAGATTTATCTATCTATTCATCTATCATCTATCTTACTATGTTATAAATGCGCCATGTCACGCAAAATAATCAATATCATAATCTAATACTGTGCCATGGCACATTATTTAAAAGATGAACAATAAGTGTTCAAACTTGAATGAAGATTGGTTACATGACTTCGTGTTGTGATCGAAATAGGTTTGAATAAGCATTTGCTGACTTCAGCAACCGATAGCATCTACCTCGGCATCATAAACGCTGCTTCATGCGAATGTAAGAGTAGGGGGTGCGCTTATCTTAACTTCTTCTCGCTCGTGCGATTCGTGCGCTTACGCGTAAAGCGAACGATGCCATTTATCTTTGATTCTCATCGCGGACAAACGCAAGCAATTATACGACCATTCATAGTTTTCTCAAAGGTGGTTTACTCTAACATTCGAGGTTTTTATGCTATTACTGAATTTGCCGAGGTACAATAATGCTGTTGCGACACGTACTTTTAACGGCTTGGTTTTATATTGTCAATCTCGTGAGTAACGATTTAATCTGTACTCGAAAAAGCCACAAATATGCTCCAGGTACTTTTGTAATTAAAAATTATCGACTGTTATGAAAATGCAGCAAAAATGCATAAAAGAAAAAAAATTACCCTTTCGGCAAAAATAATTGCTGCGTAGAAAGTATAGTATTGTATCAGTATGTTATGCCATAATACGATCAATTTATATTTAAAAACATTATTTTTATAATGCTTTTGCATTAATAATAAAATTATTAGCTACCGAGGTTAAATGTAGGAATTATGTGGGTACACAACTTGTAAGATAAAATTTGCTTTATGCTTACTATTTTAATCCTGAAATAAATTAGACCGTTCACTTTATACCAATCAAATTATATGGCTTGGTATTATAGAAAAAGTACGTTTCCTACTGATATTTATTAATATTCGAAATAACGAAGTCTATTTCTAGTCAGAAATAACATTATTATTGATAAAAGAATTCGACACCCTTCAGGATGATTATGAAACTGCGATTTAGCCCAGTATTCAAGACAGCAATGACCCCTCTCTGAATCATTGAACTCTTATTATTATACGGCATTCATGCCGCTTTCGTAAGCTTCTAAAACGAGAAAACAAGAATGTTAATCGCGAATTACATTCATTAGAACTAATTAGTGTCACTTTAATACAGCACCCAAAGGGAATAAGATACAAGCGATAGTCCCAGGTTAATAAGTAATTCTCGAGGGCCCCATGAGCAAAGCTAATTGAGCGCTTGCTATAGCATCGAGCAAATAAGAATATGGAGTATCTGAGAAAGCCAGTGAAAAAAGTATTCTTCGTCTCATTGCAGAGTCTGCGGTAGAGAGCGGAGGCCTTGTCCCATGGCAGGCTGCGTTCATGTCATCGAGGCCGGCTAATGGCTGCTGATCGAAGGGGCCCCACGTAGCCAAGGGCCATGGGGGCGCTCCCGCGACCGGCATGGCTCTGCCTCTGGCTCCTAAGCCTGCTTCTGGGCCTTGCCCGGGCCTACCTCGCCGTGCTCTCGTCGGACCTGCCCACTGGCACAGTCGTCTTCGAGGCCGGGGTCCCGCATCTTGGGGGTCGACGAAGGTATGCCGCTTCCCAGGATCGCACTGCCTGGTTCGCGCTCAAATTGCTCAAGGTGCACCCGCACACTGGAAGAGTCAGCCTCGCCAAGAGCTTAAATTGCGATGGTCTTCAGTATCCGAGGTAGGTTTGATCATCGGCTGTACTCGTCCAAATAATTTTACATATTACACAAGGTATCCGCAAATTTAGACATTAATTTCAAGATAAGAGTTTTGCACTTTTCACACATGATTGTATAATGAATGAGTGTTTGAACTTGCTTCGAAAGCCCCGCAAGTCTATTTATTGGTAGAAAACAATAAAACGTAAAAAAAGCTTAGCTATATTGAAACATTGGAAATTCAAGGAAATTGAAGTGAAATTATAAAATACAATTTTAACATATAAATGGATAATTATTATTCGAACGGGGCATGATAAATACGTGAAAATAATTACAAATATTAATCAGAGTTACGTGTTCATAAACAATGATTGTTAAATTTAATTATATTTAAAATTACCCTCTCATTTCTATTTTACTAAGTTTCATAAATTGTATTGATAAATAAATTTTCATTATTACACATTTAAATATATTTTGTAACTGTTAATTTTTTATCCAATATTTATTCATATAAGTCTTATATAAATAAGACGTTATCCAAGGCTTAACTTAATACTGTATAATTATGTGAAAATTGTATTTATTTATTACAAAAATATTGAAATTTTTTTTTATATCTTTCTCTTATAACTTGAACAGTGATAAAAGTTAATAAATTAATAATGACGATCGAAAAATAGATTGTGTTTCTTATAAAACTCGATAAATAGTATTTCTTCATTGCGCGTTTGCGCGCTGCTATAATAAAGAAGATTGTAATAAAGAAAGAAAGAAAAGAGAAGAAAAAAAAGAAAAGAACGAATGGGTTTAGGTATGCAAGTGGTTATGACTTCTTAGGAGGGGGGGGGAGCATTTGTCATTTGTATTGCACAAATTAATAGCCGTCGTAAATGCCGTAATAGCCAATATGCTGTGAAGGAACTCGTTGCAAGTGCAGAAAAAAATGGAAAATTCCAGCGCAATGCCCCTGACCGCGGAAGCGTTTTCGTCCTCCTTTCGTAATTCGTAATGGTAGCCCAGCTTCTTCACAAAATCCAACGAGGATGACAAACCCAGCGTGGCAACGAAGGGTCACTGTAACGGGGATGGGAGGGTGTTAACGAGCCCCAACTGATCAACGTCGCTGATCTGTCTGCAGGCTATTCACATTTTACATCGACTCGACGAGCTCCCGGTTGGGCCGAGCGACCATCGACTACTATAGCCTGCCTTTGCGTATCCTGGTGACCGGTTGCGGCGGCGAAAACGTGGACCTCGCCGCGACGAAGGGCTGGATGGCGGAGACCCTCGCCTCCTACGCCATGCCGAGCACCGATAAATTCACTGAGGTCTGCCTGAGGACGTCACAACTAGTCGCCGCGCTCAGGGACTTCCTGCCGCATACGGCCCTCAAGCAGTGCGAGACCAGATGGGGTACGTACGCTCATAAGCTCGCACCATTAACGGAGCCGATGAGGGCCGCCACCGCTTTTTATTCGGCCTTGATCGAAGCCCCTCCATCGCGTCCAACCAGTTCTTCTCTTCCTTCCGAGTTTACATTGCCGTAAGACCCTCAATACCCTCCTTCTCCCGCCGACCAACTCCGCCACAACGTTCCTTACCACTATCGGGAGTACAAGCAGGCTCGTAAATTTTTAATGCCCGCTATTCTTTCGGGGAGCCTCGCTTGACCCAAGAGGGCCAGCTGAACACGATATCGATTCCAATCAACGACTCCTATTCCGCGTTTTATTTCATTCTTTATTTATTTATTTAATCTTTTATTCGCATTAATTATTCTTAATTTATATTACTATAATACCTAATCTTTTATAAGGATTGAGAGGCATTTTCACGGTGGCCGATTGTACCCGAAACCATTCGCTTCGTTCCTACGACACATTCTCATGCGTCATTTACGTTGAGAATGCAAGACTGCGACTTAGGTAATGATAAATCCAGTAAGCAATAGCCGCAGTCGTCGAAATAACTCGATAAAATAATAAATATAATAATAATAAGAATAATAATAATAACAACATATGATAAAACTCTCTTATGTTTAAAAGGTTCTTTTTCACCTTTTAATAAGGAATCATTTTGAGTATTAACATGACAATTAATTATACGCGAGCTGGATTGATAATAACGAACCACGCCGTGCTGGCATAAATTCTAGTATGCTACTAATTAATCGATATAAACATTGTATCATCTTTTTCATGCTATTGCGCGCATTTACTAACGTTTATATTAAAGAAATTGATTTATCGCAGGATAACGGGATTTACATTTTTAGTTCGTCTTATTGAGCTCTAAAATATCAAAACAATTATAAAATCTATAACTTTTGCGTGTATCAAATCTTCCTTAATTAGTGGCGTCCGTTACACTTTTTTATAGTCTGTAGATCGTTAAAAGCAATAAAGTTGCAAAAGCAATTATTATTGAAATGTACAATTATTTTGAGAACTTTTGCAATAATGAAGATTGTTTCATCTAAACGGGTTATACTTGATTAAATAAGTAATTTACAGCAATGCGAATGATATGCTTGGCCACTTGGGTAAATGTCCAACTTGAAGTAAATTGAAATACGTTTATTAACCATCGACAAATTTTCTGTCTCCCATCAAAGTCTTTTAATGAATCGCGACAAAAGCCACTTAGAAAACACGAAGAAACTAAGCAAAAAACTCTCGAATAGTTAGGACATGATTAATAAGCCAGATACGTTGGGCTCTCGCTCACATACTAGGTGGAGTGGCGGACCCACGATTCCTCGTGGAGGGTGCTGCCGGCGATCTTGTCTCAGCGTCGGAGCAGTGCCTCGTGGACCCATTGTGGAAGATCTCGGTCTCGATGAATCTTCGCTGCGGCACCAGCTACCTCTCAGATGCGGAACACCGACTAAAGATCGTCTTTCACCACCAGCAGCTCGATGACACGGACCTGGGGCGCAGGGTGCGCCGGGAGTTGCGCAATCAGTCACCGTTCTTCGAACAAGCGCTCTACGTTGCAGCGGTCGAGGAGGAGAAGGATCCCGGAGTCGTTGTCACCTTCGTCCGGGCACGGGATCCTGAGGGCGGTACCGTCAGGTGACTATTAGACTCTTTCCAGTCGATCTGGGTAACAACACTTTTTCTTACACTGCATTTCTTGTTCCTTAAACTGCGCCCAGATCGCTTTGTCGGCATTTTCCAATTTAAGTTCTTTGCGCCATTCGACGTTCAAATATTATATTCCTTATTTAATAAGCCCATTAATTTTTAAATATACATTTAAATACATCCTTTTACTGAGCGTAGTTTTTATTTTTAAAGGAAAAGCAAAAGACTACTTAGAATATTTAAAATGCCAACGCTACCGTTTAACGTTTAGCTAAATTTTTGAAAAAATTCTTTTTGGCATAGAACTTATTAAGAATATTTAAAAATTATTTTAATATTCATTAAATCATATGCTCCATTACTTCTGTTACAAAAAAGCGAATTACGAGCTATTATAGAAAAAAAATGTACATACATACAAAAAATATGAAACGGCCTTTATAATTTTATTATCGTCATCAATATGTTGGCTAATCTATTTTAGCCGTATATTTACATCAATTTTAGATCACATATTAAAGAACCACCTGCTTGAATAATTATTTAACCATTCAATATCAATTGATAAAACGTACGATGCCATCAAGGCTTCAATTCATTTTAATAATTTAGCTCAAGCTACATGAATAGTTTATTTACGATACTAATAAACCATCGAGTATTTTATTTTTTTTTAAGTTTTTTTTCTTTCTTTTGTTATTTACACAAGATTCTCGCAGGGAGCAAAGTAATTCAATCGCTATTCATAATAAATCAAACATAAAAAATTTGAAATTAATAATATCTCGCCTTCCTTAAAGTATAAAAGGCTTTCGAATTAACGTGGAAAAAAGAGAGGTTTTCGTCAATCGCGAGGATAGTTGCAGCCATGCAAATTCAAGCGTAAAGAGCATTGCTCAAGGCTAATTTTACTTTCATAATTTAACCAACATCAACGCAGCATCGATATAAAGAGACGCGATCCTTATCACCCCATTCGCTCCTCAGGTACACGATGAGCTCGCTGATAGACGCGCGCTCGCAGAGCCTTTTCAGCCTGGAATCGGTGCTCGGAAAGGTAACGACAACCGCACGGCTTGACCGCGAGAACGTCGATGTACACTACTTCCGAGTGCTGGCGGTCGACGACTCCTTCCCGCCCAGGACCGGCACGACCACGCTGCAGATCAACGTCCTCGACACAAACGACCACGCGCCGACTTTCGAGTCGCCCGAATACGAGGCCGCGGTCCATGAGAGCGTCCCCATCGGCTCCAGCGTCGTTTCCATCAAGGCCACCGATCAAGATGTTGCCAAGAACGCCGAGGTCGAGTACGCGATTGTCTCCACCACTGGCGGCGGCACAACTACACTCACCGAGGACCAATCGACCTTCAGGTACACGCGAGAACTCTTCGATTATTCCGCCAGAGATGTTCCTAGTCATTTCAAATTATTTTCATCAACCCTATTTTATTTGAAAATGTTGAAAACGTCAGATGTGACCGCTTGCAATGCAGAGGATACAGCCAATTATGGCACAATCAAGTTTATCTACACGGCATCCATTATTTAATCCGTTATTTCATTTTTGCATAACTCTAAACTTTCTTATCGACAAGATAATGATTATACTTACCAGCACATTTTTAATCTACGTTATATCATTGAAATGTAAAATTAACTACTACATATTATATGAATAGCTGGATAATTATATATGTTTATAATTAAACTTTATTCATTTTGCCAAATACAAATACGTTTGTAAGATTTAAACATTCGACGATTATGTTTTTCAAATATTTAATTTTCTGTATTTACTGTAATACATGAATCTTGTATGATATGTATTTTTCACCAAAAATTATAGTGTATAAACTATATTAAATGTCAATTAAATTGCACTCGGATAAAAGATGTATAAATTGACACTCGTACATTATAAGAATAGAATAAAAAAAAATTTAAAGACATATATCAATGGTAACAATTTAACGCGTATAAAAAATGAATTTTAATGAACGTAGAGAAGGGTACTTCGTTCCCTTTTGCAAATGAAGATCAATCAAATGTTCGAATTATATTAAGTTGCTATTTAATACAAATGCAATTTATTAAAACCTTTTAATTTAAATTGGGACCTCCTTAGTACGTAAAATAAATTAAAATTTTAATTAGCTTAGCCTCGTTTATTAAATAATAATAATAAAAAAGAATCTACAAACTATTCAACTACATGCTGATAATATTCGAATTCAGGTAAACTAATTATTACTTTCGAAATACCTCGAAATGAATGTTACTTTAAAAAGTAAACCTTAAAAAAACTACGTTTCAGAAGTTTTCGAAAACCGGTATTTATTAAAACTAAAAAATGGAAGCGTCATCTAGATAAGTTAATTACATTAATTTAATCATTTCATTGGTATTATAATCAACTAATGGCTTTATTAATTAAAATAAACCTATTGCCTCGAATAAGTAAAATCAATAAAATAAATAATTATTCCAATTTAAATATACTGTATAATTTTATGGAATTTATCATACATCTAAGCTATAAAATAATATTCTAACAAACAGCGTATTATATTAAGAACATAAGAAAAGTGTTAATATTTTTTTTTTTTATATTTTTAGTATGTAAAATAAATTGCAAATTCGACGACAGAATTTACAATCGTTATTTTAATAAGTATTATAATGAAGCCATTATATATCATAAATAATATCTACATTTAATGATTAAATCTAGACGAACCTATTCCTTCCTATTGTATGATACTTCCGTAGTATTAAATTATAATCGAGATCTTTAAATAGTCAAGCCCATGGAGACCATTGACACGGTATTAGTTTGAATATTATTGAGTCTATATTTTACCGATTCTAAATAAAGATCTATCATGAATAATAATAGATTTTAAATTTAATCGAAGCTTATTATTTATCGATCGGAGCCGAATAAAGAGGTCAATATTCTAATGCATGCACCTAAAACCTAAATTTCATTTAGCCGTACAGCCTAAGCAACATTAGTCAATTTTTAGTAATACTTTTCCACTGTTGTATTATGTAATCGTAATTCAAACAGTTTCGGTCACCACTTCGGAGCGGAAAATATATATATATATCACAACCGCTTATTTGCAGGATCGATCCACGCTCGGGTATCATGACAACGAAAACGTCGCTCGACCGCGAGAAAACCGAGGTATACACGGTAATAATCCAGGCTATGGACCTTGCAAATCCACCGGTGAATCGACGCACTGCCTCGGCTACCCTGGTGGTCCACATCCTCGACGACAACGACAACTACCCGCAGTTTTCTGAGCGCACGTATATCGTGAGCGTGCCGGAGGATCTCGACTATACGATAAATCCGGTGATCGCGGAGATACGTGCGACGGATTCGGACACGGGCTCGAACGCCGCGATTCGCTACGCGATTATTGGGGGGAACACGCAGAACACCTTCCAGATCGACTCGCAGAGTGGTGACGTTATATTGGTGAAACCTCTCGATTACGAAACAGTGAAGAATTACAAGATCATCGTGCGTGCGCAGGACGGCGGACTGCCCGCCAAGTCCAATACTACGCAGCTCCTCATCAGGGTGAAGGACGTCAACGATAATGCGCCGAGGTACGCTCGAAGCGATTCTTTCCTTAGCCGATCCCACGACTTACAATTATCGCTTAAATGGAGTCATGGCAGTTGATTTCATTTAAGAATCATTCGTCATGACCGGCGTCTCCTTTAACTTAAATTCACACTGATTGAAACGCCTCCAAATCCATGTTATTTAGCGGCTGGTTTTTTTTTGGTTTTGTTTTTTATTTGTTCTTGTTTTTTGTTTTTTTTTCTGTTTAGTTTAAATAATGGAGTCTTAAAACTAGGCTTGAATTTTTACACTCAAAGTTTCTGTAAACATTGCAATAATAAGAAACTGTAGCTCCAGACAGCTAAATACAACGATTGGCTGGTCAAAGAATCGAGATCGAGACTTTTCTTGTAAAAAGCATAAAGAATAGAAAATACATGTAATATTTTTGTTATAAAATTGTTAGAAAAGATTGCAAATACTTTTATGCAGATTTCATACGAGTCTTTTTCAAGAAGACGTGTCCGAGTCAGTTTCCATTGGCTACTCCGTACTCAAAGTTCAGGCCTATGATGCGGACGAGGGCCCCAATTCTCAGATCAAATACTCGATTGGCTCGCGCGACTTAAGCGGCGGCTCTACCGAGAACTTCCCGGTGGCTGTGAACTGCGAAACCGGGTGGATATTCACAGTGAAGCAGCTCGATCGCGAGCAGTGCTCCAAGTATCAGTTCGTAGTGGTAGCGAGCGACTCGGGCGAGTCTCCAAAATCAGCCAGTGCGACCGTAATACTAACCGTCACGGACGTCAATGATAACGATCCATATTTCGATCCCAAGAGTTACGAAACTGTAGTCGCGGAGGATGATTCGCCCGGTACACCTGTCACAACTGTCACTGCAACCGATCCAGATGAAGATGCCCGAATCCACTATGAAATTTCATCCGGAAATACAAGAGGTCGGTCGGCGAAGCCTTTTAAATGTCACTAGTATCGATAGAGCACATACTCGTAAAACGCCCCTACAACACGATCTTTCATTCCATTAAATTTCATAGATAAGACTAAATGCAAAATACATTGTTAATGAAATTTTTACTTTTTATAGAAAAACGTAAATGACATTTTATTTATTTAAATGGATAATTAAAATCGTGTGTAATTAAATGATTTGCACGACACAATCGAGAATGGTAGATGGTCCCTTAGCTTGGTCGACTACTTAAAGAAATAATTATCATGGAATTTAACACTGACAAATGCATTGATTATGACATAACTATGAAATCGGGAAATGTGATTGGCTGAAACCTTTTCTCAGGTCGCTTCTCCATAACGTCGCAGAACGGACGCGGCCTTATTACAGTAGCTCAACCATTGGACTATAAGCAAGAGAAGCGCTTCGTACTGACCATCATGGCATCTGACTCGGGCGGCAGAAGCGACACAGCCTTCGTCTACGTGAACGTTTCCGACGCCAACAACTATGCACCCGTCTTCGAGAACGCGCCCTACTCACTCTCCGTATTCGAAGATGCGCCCGTCGGTACGACGGTTCTTGTCGTCAGCGCCACGGACTCCGACGTCGGGCAGAATGCGCAGATTACGTACGGCCTTGGCAGTGATACCGACGAGGCTCGCGAAGCTACGGAATTCTCTATTAATCCGCAGACGGGAGCCATCATCACGACAAGGCCCCTCGATAGGGAACTCGTTTCCGGCTATTTGCTTACCATCACCGCCAAGGACGGCGGTGTCCCGCCGCTCAGCGATACCACTGAAGTCGAGCTATCCGTCACCGACGTCAACGATAATGCGCCCACCTTCGACGCCGTGCAGTACCAGGGCACTGCGAGAGAGGATGTGCTCATTGGTACCAGCGTTATCAAGATCACTGCCACGGACATAGACGTCGGCCTCAATGGACGGGCAAGTCTCGTTTGTCTCATTGCGATGATATTCCAGTCGTGCACCGGTGCTTTTTCAATTCTCTTCATAAGCAAATTCAGTAACAACGCTTTGAAATGTCGCTTAAAAATATCGATAAAAACCAATTGTCTGTTGGGGATATCGCGTTGCAAACACTTGTAACAGTAATTATAACGGTAAGCTAGATTTAAGGGGCGCAATAAATGACTGCCGATTAACATAATGCAATAATGCATTGGTGTAATAATATTGGTCAATAATATTATTCAAATGAAGTGCGCCGCGTTTCAAATTGAATTGTAATTGAACGGACGTTAATGTTAAACAAATAATTTTCAGGTCAAATATACGCTGGAGAATGATGGCGATGGCTCGTTCGCTATCGACTCGGCCACTGGTATAATTCGAACAGCTAAGGTTCTCGATCGCGAATCAACGGCACGCTACACTTTAAAGGCTATGGCCATGGATCGTGGATCGCCGGCGCTATCGTCAATAGTCCCCATCATCATTAAAATCGAAGACATAAATGATTCGCCGCCTACTTTCGAAAAAGATAAAATTATACTCTACATTCCTGAAAATTCGCCTGTCGGTTCTACGGTCGGCGAAATCTATGCCCATGACCCCGACGAAGGGCCCAACGCCGCTGTACAGTATTCTCTAATAGGTGGCGAAGATGTCGGTAGTTTTCGACTGAATTCTCGTCCCGGAGCCGATAGGGCCGAATTAATTTCTTTGCAAGAATTGGATTATGAATCGACAAAGAAGAAATTTGAATTAGTCGTAAGGGCCACTTCGGTACCGTTGCGATCGGATGCTATAATTCAGGTAATTTATTCATTGCAATTGTGATGATAAAAATTTGTATTTAATAACATTAATAATTTAAGAATTGTGCATTAATTGCAAGAAACGATTAATCATTCGTTAGAATAGCATTAAAATTTAGTGAAAAATACACAAAAGTAATAAATTATAATTAAATTAAAGATAAAATATGATAGTAAGTATTGTTATGTTAATTAGACTGGGCTTTATTCATGAGCAATGAAAATCAAGTGAAATTTTTCGACATTTAAATAATTTAACGGTGGTCTTAATCTGTATATTACTGTTATTTTTAATTTTTTAATTTTATTTTATACTATAAGTACTTATAAATGATCAAGTAACAATAAATAAGTAACAATAAATGATCCTATTGTTATTTAAGAATTGAAAAAAAATTGGAAATGTTTAAGTACTCCTTCGCTCGAATAGTGAAAAATGTTTCGATTAAAAAAACAAAAAATAAACAATAAACAAAAAACACTATTATACGATTATAAATATGATGAAAGTGAAATAATAATTATTGATATATTTTAGGTTCTCGTTACCGATGTAAATGACAATGCACCGAAGCTAGAAGACTTTCAAATAATCTTCAACAATTTCAAAGATTTTTTTCCAAGTACTGCCATTGGTCGAGTTCCTGCATTCGACGCGGATGTGACCGATAAACTTGTTTATACAATACTTTCGGGCAACAACGCCAATTTAATTTCTTTAAATAAAACGAGCGGAGAAATTATTCTATCACCTCAATTGAACACAAACGTGCCTCGCGTAGCGACAATGGATATATCCGTAACAGACGGCATCAACGAAGTAAAAGCAACCATGACACTTTCTGTAAGACTCATTACGGACAAAATGCTCTTCAATTCCATAACCGTGAGACTGGATGAGATGACCGTTGAAGCTTTCTTAAGTCCCCTTCTAGGATACTTTTTGGATGGCCTAGCTGCCATTATTCCCTGCCCCAGAGATAATATATTTATATTTAGTGTACAGGAGGATACGGATGTGCACAGTAAAATTTTAAATGTCAGCTTTTCGGCAAAACGAGTGGAGCCCGGCTCGAACGACGAGTTTTATAGCACTCAGTTTCTGCAGGAGCGCGTCTATTTGAATCGCGGCATTCTCGCGAGACTGGCTAATGTTAAGGTTCTACCATTCGACGATAACCTGTGCGTGAGAGAGCCATGCTTGGACTACGAGGAGTGCATTACCGTATTGAAATTCGGAAATGCATCGGGTTTCGCCAGCAGCAGTACCGTGCTTTTTCGACCAATTTATCCAGTGACGACCTTTACTTGTCAGTGCGCTAAAGGATTTACGGGGAGTAGAGAGGCTTATTTGTGCGACACCGAAGTCAACTTGTGCTATTCGAATCCATGCAAAAACGGAGGGACCTGTAGACGACGGGAAGGTGGATATACGTGCGAGTGCCCGGCTAAGTCAACGGGCCAAGCCTGCGAAATATCTCTAGAAACGGACTCGTGCGCGGCAGACCTATGTAAAAGCGGCTCTCAGTGTATAAACAAGATTGACGGTGGATTATTTTGCGATAACTGCCCGATTACACCATTAGAGAACGTGACGCCTCTTTGCGAGCTCAGAACTCGAAGTTTTGGGCCTGCAACCTTTTTAACCTTTCCATCGTTGAGACAGCGGCACAGGCTACATCTTAAACTGAGATTCGCCACCGAAGCCTCGGACGGTCTATTATTATATAATGGCCGATATAACGAGAAGCACGACTTTATTGCTTTAGAAATCGTGGAATCCCAAGTACAATTTAGCTTCTCTCTGGGCGATGTAATAACTAGAGCAACGGCTGAGATTCCCGGGGGTATATCCGATGGACAGTGGCACGAAGTCCAAGTTTCCTATATTAACAGATCGGTAATAGTATCGCTGGATAATTGTGATATATCGTTGGCATTGAAGTTCGGGGAGAGGCTCGGCGAAAAATGGTCGTGCGCGGGAAGGAACGAGCATATCCTTGAAGAACGATGCAGCGATATCACCGAAACTTGCCATCGATTTCTCGATCTCACAGGGCCATTGCAATTAGGAGGGCTGCCCGCAATACCTTCGAACTTTCAAATACGAAACAAGGACTTTATCGGGTGCATAAGCAATTTTTATGTGGATCATCGATTCATTGATCTTAATTCATTCGTGGCGGATAACGGCACGATTGTCGGCTGTCCCGAAAAAATGCACTTCTGTGCATCTAATCCGTGCAATAATAATGGATACTGTAAAGAGGTATGGTCGGGCTATGTATGCGAATGTGCCGATGGCTATGCCGGATCGCAATGTAATGATGAAATAGCCAGACCCTGGCGATTTCACGGCGATGGCTTGCTCAGCTTCAATCCCTTGTTAAAGCCCATTCAATTACCGTGGCTGACGGGATTTAGTTTAAGGACGAGAGCTCAAGACTCTTTCATTATGACCATTCAAATTGGACAGAATAGCTCCATCTTGTTCCAAGTCATGGGTGGAAAGTTAGTAGTTCTGTTAGATGGTGCCGATGTGATAAAATCGTCAACTAATGTAGCCGATGGTCAGTGGCATAGGATCGACGTTCGCTGGCAAAGCGGTCAAATTATCCTGGATATGGATTATAGAAATAAGCCATTAATCCAATCGTTGCCGGCTAAATTACAAGGTTTATACGTTGGAAGAACCTTAATTGGTAGCCCCGACAAATCATTCAACACCGAATTGCCGCTCTACAGTGGATGCCTTCAGGTTCAAATGGATTATTTATATTTATAAAATTCCAATATAATTATATCATATTTAATAATTAATACTTTAATTGTAATCAAAAGTCACGAATGAAAATCATCCAAATTTAAATTGAATCACAAAACTATCGAATAATAATAATTTAATAATTAAATTTAATAGACGGTTTATGATTTTATTATACATGTGATGATCATTTTTTGCTTTACATTTAATTTTTTATTTTTGACGTACTTAACTATTGCTTTACAATAAAAATAGTTAAATCTCTACAATCAATTTATAATGACATTCCAATTATCTTTAATGGAAGACTTTATATAACATTTATTAAATGTTTAAAAAAATTCCATAATAAAAATATTGCAGGACATACGAGTAGGAACGAATCAAACACTTCTTCAAGTACCAATAATTCAAGAAAATATTGGATTCGGATGTGACAGTGATAATACATGTCGAGTCAATTGCGCAGATTCTGCAACTTGTGTAACGAAGTGGGAATCAAGCGAATGTATTTGCAGCGAAGGTCGAGTCGGTCAGAATTGTGAACAAATATGCGACATAAATCCTTGCAGCTCATTTGGTACGTGTGTCGCAGTCACAGATAGTCAAAAGGGTTACGATTGTAAATGCAAAACTCCTGAGTACTCTGGAGAATACTGTGAAATTAAAGGTAATGCATATTATTTAACAAAATTATCCAATAAGTCGCGTCTACTTCGTATCGCTCAACACACACTTTGCCAACAACACGTTGTAAATATCTAATCTATTACTAATATTATCACCAGATATTATTATATTATATGCAGATATATTATGAATTAATGTTAAATAAACTGAAAAAAAGTTCTTTTATACTATTCGTTATTAATTATATGCAATTTTAAACTGTAATTAAGGAAAACTATTATAGAATTAATAATAAATTTAACGGGAAATATTACGTATAATATTGAAAAATTATATTCAGATATAATTGTATAGTGTACGTAAAACGTTGTGTTTGTGGAGAAAGCTTAGGGTCACTGGGAAAATACAAACGAAATAGCGAATTCATTCACGAGTTTTTTTAACGCTTATAGCCGAGCAGCCGTGTCCCGCGACCTGGTGGGGTTCGCCGGTCTGCGGTCCTTGTCACTGTGACGAGTCGCGTGGCTACGATCCATCTTGTAATAAGACCACAGGTGAGTGCTACTGCAAGGAGAATCACTATCAGCCTCCCGGCGAGATGGAGTGCACACCGTGTGAATGCTATGCCACCGGGAGCTTTGGCCCGCGCTGCGATTCTCTAACCGGCCAATGCAGGTGCAGGATGGGCGTCATCGGCAGGTCCTGCACCGCTTGTCCCAACCCCTACGCCGAGGTCACCTTGAAAGGCTGCGAGGTCGTCTATGACGGCTGTCCAAGGTGAGACTTTCTGATGACTTTCAGAATTCCTGCTTTATCGAAGCTCTTCCTTCAGCTTACAAATAGCATCACAACATCAGCATAGGCATTAATGTTATTTATTCTCAATTGCACTCGATTACAGAAATGTAATAATTTGTCCGATTTAGCATTGATATTTCTTTTTAAATTTCTGAGTTTAAATGAAAAACACAAAAGAAAATAGAGCATCACAGCAATAGCAAATTCAACTTAAAATTTTAAATATTATTATAATTATTATAATATTATAATTACCTCCGATTATATTGTTTAAAAGCTAAGAAATGACGCGACGTATGTTAAAAAAAAACAATTGTTTTATGCATTACTATTTATAGGTATTTACTTATATACGTATTGATTAGAAAAAATTTGCATACTGAATATGAATTATTTTCTAAATACTATATTAAAAAATAATGCTGGAATCTTATTTCTCAAGTTAATAAAAATTATTATTATATTAAAATTTACTTTAAAAAAAACAGTATAGCGCCTTACAGATACTATTTTATAGAAATATATTCTTTTTTATTTTTATTTTTCAACGAATTAACTTTCATTCATTATAGTCAATTAACCCCTATCTTGCAATAAAAAAAGCTTGACAAATCTAAAATGCAGATAAACGCGAGGAAAATGCACGTAGCGTACAAGCAGTCGATTATGATTCAATTAAAAAAATTTTCACGTATCGCAGGTCATTTGCCGATGGTTTGTGGTGGCCACGAACAAAGTTCGGCGAAACAGCGATCGAGGACTGTCCGGGTACAGCCGAAGGCAAAGCCTCGCGCTCTTGCTCGGACAAACTCGGAGGCTGGCAATCGACGGACCTCTTCAACTGTACCTCGGAAATCTTCGTCGAGCAGCGACATCAACTCGCCGCTATGGAGACATCGGAACTCAGCCTTAACACTTACGTCGCCGTCAAGATGGCCATGGAGCTCCACAAGGCCGTGAACGCCACGAAAAATATGTACGGGGCGGATCTCCTCGTCACTGAGTCCCTCCTCTCTGCCCTCCTCAAGTACGAGGACAGCCTCGCTGGGCTGAACCTCACCCACAGTCAGGACAAAGATTACGTGGCTCATCTGGTCGGCATAGCCGGGGCGATCCTGCAGAAGAAGTACTCCGAAAATTGGGCGAGAATCGAGTCCCTCACCGGAAACGGCCCTGACAAAGTTATGCTCACCATGGCCGAGTACCTCAAGACTCTCGCTGTATCACAACATGATACCTACACCAGCCCCTTCGAAGTGGTAGACGCTAACGCTGGTATGTGTACCTCAATATTTGCCTCGTTTCGCTTATTTATTATACTTACTTGCATGTCCCTTTTCAATAAAAAAATGTCTGCTGCAGAGTACAACAATTTGCAATATCAGTGTAATCATTGATAATACATAAATAGTCCCTTTTTTTCTATCAAATTTAAAAGGAAATGAAGAATTATTTTGTATTCTACTGCGATAATATTGTATCCTATTATTTGAGAAACAGTGGAAATCCATTGGTAATTGAAACACGTTACTGCTAAAATAAAAGAGGAAAATCTTAAAAAAAAAAAATAGAGTAAGAGGAAAACGAAGCATTATAAATGAAAAATTAATCCAAACTGTCGATTCGCAGTATTGGGCTTGGACATCGTCACGTCGACAAGTTTATTCGGCTACGAGGCGGTGGAATATAAGGAAGACGCATCGCTCTCTACGGCTAGACCTACTGAAGCTGATCAGAAAGTTATATTGCCGGATACCTCTGCCTTCTTCGTCTCGCCCATACATATGGGCCCTTCGATAAGCTTTCCAAAGTACAACAATTATATGCCTGATCCAAATAAGTTCGATCCGTATTCAAAAATACAAGTGCCTCTAAGTCTGTTGGGTATACAATCCGTTACCCAGGGCGACCTCAATGTCAAAAACAGTCTAAGTAATCATAAAGCCGTATTAAGTTACGTACAATATCGGGAACTTGGTAGTCTGCTGCCTAGAAGGTATGAAAACATGTCTACTCTAATCAAAATGCTGCTCAACTGAATATGTAAAGAATATAGATTTGATTAATATTATCATATGTCTTTGTAATCTAAATTTCTATTCGTTATTTCAATTGTTAAAATTGCTCCACAATTACAATGAATTTGAATTTGCACAAATTATATTTATAAATTAATTTATGATTTAATATAATTTAATATATAAGTTAATGATCATCGTCATTGAAAGTAATTTGCAATTCATGCATATTTAATAACATTGAATTTAATGTCGTCAGAGATTATTGAATAAATAGTTTTTCACATTTAAATTATATTCAAAATTATACATGTGTTGTATATAGGCAATAGCATTTTCATAAAATTCGAAAAATTGTAATAAAATTGATAAAATAGTTTATTATAACGAGTGTACTGAATTGTAATGTAATGGAGAGATGGGGAGGGGAAGAAATAAAAAAATATGCAAGATAAAATATAGTTGAACAGTAATATTATTGTCTTTCTTGATATGCCAACTAATACGTTTCTTAACAATATATCATTTTAGATTTGACGACTCAGTGACGGTAAGATGGGGAGTCGAAATTGCAATTGGATCACCTATTATAACGGTTTCCGTCCTAGTGCCATCCGAAGCTGGATATGAGACTTTGACAGGCATTCCTCTTAAATTTCCTGTTCGAATTCAGCTTTGGCTAAGTGAGGATGATGGTTATAAAACTCGAATCAATCCTCAATGCGTGCATTGGAGCACGGCCAGAGGGTATAATTTCATTTTTTAAATAAATTACCTTATCATTGAAATGTCCAAAAAATAATTACTTTTTGTGTTTTTTTTTTTTTTGTTTTGTTATAAATTGTTTCTTAAGTCTGTGATTGCTCAAGTGATAAATGTTGCGTTACAGAATCGGCGAGTGGAGCAGATTGGGCTGCACAACCGAGGTCGATGATAGTACTCTACCTCTCGGTACGATGGTCAATTGCTCGTGCATCAAACTCTCGACATTCGCCGTTCTGACGGACGTCCTCGACTTGGAATACGTCCCGGAGCCATCGCTCCTCGAGGACGTGACGAGCTACAGCGCCTTCATCATTTCCCTACCTCTCCTCCTCACAACAATCCTTATCTTGGCTCTGATACGCGGCGGCCACACCAACTCAAATAGCATTCATAAGAACCTCGTGATGTGTGTCTTCGTTTCTGAATTGCTGTATCTCGTGGCCCTGAAGGCGCGCAGTGCCCTCATCGGCAACGAGTTCCCCTGCAAGCTCATCGCCATCGGGCTCCATTACGCCTGGCTCAGCACCTTCGCTTGGACACTCGTAGATTCGATACATCTTTATCGCATGCTCACTGAGATGAGAGACATCAATCACGGGCAGATGAGGTTTTATTACACCCTCGGTTACGGCGTGCCTGCGATCATAGTTGGATTAACCATTGGCGTCAGAGCTGACCAATACGGAAACTTTTATTTGTAAATACATTCGATTATATTTTAAATACAATAATTGTGGTTTTATGGACCCTCTCCTTCTACATACTTCTAGCACCCAATTTTATATTTCATTTGAATTAGCGTGCACTTTTCGCGGCTTGTAGTTTTTACAGAATGTAAAATGTTTTATAACAGATTTATTTATTCGTCCAATGTATTGAGAATAAACGATTATAAAAAACTATTACAATCTCTCGATATAGTTTCTAACTTATTATAAAATAAGTTTAATGGAGAATGATATTTAAAAATAGTGCACTGTGCTATTATGATAAGTCTGACGATCTAAAAATTTAATTAACTTATTTTATCCTAAAATAAGAGAAATTATTACCTAGTTTTTTGCACTGTAAAAATAAACTTGTTAGCTAAATCGGTGGCATTTATTCAAATTTGTTTCCAATAATAATGTTATGTATTTTATATGTTGATGTTACACATAGTTCTTGTCATATGCACATGTTTATGCGTGTGAATGCCTAGAACAAGAACTCCTCTGCGAGAGTTTCAATGACCATTCTGTTCTGATTAAAATACAGCTGCTGGCTTTCCATCTATGAGAACGTGATCTGGTCGCTGATTGGTCCCACCTGCATCCTGGTCTTCACGAACTTCTGCATTCTAATAATGTCGGTGAAAGCGGCCTTTACGCTCAAAGATCACATCATGGGTTTCGGCAATCTTCGCACGCTCCTCTGGTTGTCAGTTGCCTCGCTACCGCTTCTCGGCACGACCTGGACCCTCGCGGTACTCGGCGCCTCCGAGAACTCGGCTACCCTCTCCTATATGCTGAGCGTCTCGATAGTCCTACATGCAATGTTCAGCCTCGTCGGCTACTGCTTCATCAATGGCAGAGTCAGGAGGAATCTTTATCTGAGCATGCTGAAGTGCATCGGGAAGAAAGCGCCCCTCCTTGATGTCAGCATGGTCAATGGGAGTAGCAGTCAAAACGTCAATACCGGTATAAATGTAAGTCTGGGTGATCATTTATTAATTGGCACGAGGATTGTTAGAGATGGCTTATTAAATTCCTTTCCTTTCAACGAAAGTGAAAGTGTCTTCCAATATTCCTTTACTAAAATAAAGATTTCATTCGTATCTAAGTGCTTGCATAATGCATTATTTAACAGTGTAATACAAGAAGTATAAAATCTTAATTATAATATGATATATGATCAGCGGTCGGGGATTGCCTACTCGTCGACATACGGTGGAACAGACGCGAACTCCAAAAGAGTCCATGTCGGGGTGTCGACGAGCAGCACAACGTCTCGGAGCACAAATAAGACCGGATCCAGTCCGTATCGGAGCGACACGCAACTCCGAAACACCTCGACATCAACAAGTAACTACAACAGCGATCGTGGAGCTTACATGTCTAAGCGAAGCAATCATTCGACAAGACCGAAAAGGAATGGTACGTTATTATTCCCTCATCGTCCATTTTATCGAGGTATTTCCTTTATCGAAGTGTCTTTTAATTATTCTTATTGTTTGTGACTTTTAAATTTATATTTCGATGTATAATAAATCGACATATAATATTTAACAAGCTTAGCGATCTATTCAGCATTCGAATTAACAATAGTAGAGATAAATTTTTAAATTTACGATTACATTTACATACCAGAACAAGCATTTATTATACTTCGATAAAGTTCATTAACGAAATGGATTATCAAAGGAAAAATAGAGGGTTGAAGCGTTATTTAATCGATAAAAGAAATGCCGATTCTTCGCGTAGGGCTGCAGCTAGCATACCAAATTAATAAAAACAGTGCATGTAACGTTTGCAGAGGCAAATCAGGAACGCGAACAGCAGCGCCGGGATTCCGAGTCGGACTCGGACGCGTCGCAGCGGGACGATCGAGGACGAGCTCTAGAGATGGCAAGCTCCCACAGTTCGGAGGACGAGGTTCTTCGTGTGCCTAAAACCTCGGCGACCCCAAAAATGCGCAAGAACATTGGCGTGACGACACAGCAGCCATCAGCGTTGACCCACCCTTACTTACCTAATATATCTGCTAATAGAAGCGAACCCCTCAACGTCCTTCACTGCTCCAGCACCGACCTCTTTCCCAACATCAAGCCCATTTACGCGCCACGCTGGAGTTCTCAATTACCCGAGGCTTATCTACCGTCGACTAACGGTTAGTCGACCAACTAACTTCTTCAACAACTGAACTTCTTAGTTCTTGACGGCTTTCGAGCTTATTCCAGAGCAAACATTTATACTCCAAGCGAACATTGATCTACGCTCTCATATCCTTACTCTCACTCACAAAGCATAGCCGTTTACTATATTTATAATTGTACTATACTGTATAATTGATTTCAGTTACGTAAAATTATGCTTTTGCAGGCTCGGGAAAGAAAATTACGTGTAAAATGATAAACCACTTTTGACGCCATTATTCATTATTTGCTTGAATATATTATTAGAATAAAAATAATCGTATACTCCAATAACTATAAAAGTATTTTAATAATGTTGGTATCGCCAATTGTACGAAACATGAAAAATTACACTTTATGGCAATCAATAGTATATTTGTAATGTCAGTTTTGCCATATTAATACAACAATTATAACGTAAATTCGATCTTCCAACCACTGCCATACTTATTAAGATTTAAGAGTAAAAACATCTTAATTTCCTAATTAATTATATTTGTACTTCTTCTATCATAAAATTAAATAAATTATCTCAGATTGTGTATTAAGTCGAACAATTATGGGTGTTGTAGTTGAAGGACGCAGTAGTCAGTGGTCGGGTGGCACAATGTCTGACAACGAAATGGTCTCGACGAAGACGACCAGCCCCAATCCACTGTCATACGTCGACCTAAATCTTCACCATTCGAAACTGCAGCCAGATGAGACCTACTCCGAAGTTGAGGACAAGTTTCACATATCTGATAAATATTTGTATCCCTATACGCCAGGAGATGACGAACTCCACCTCGAGCAGCAACAGCAACAGCACCAACAGCAACAACTACACCAGCCAAGCTCACCAACTCCCTATATGCTTTCGATGCCCTCGAGAATTTTGAACTCGAGTCTTAGCCATCACTCACAAACTTCCAATCACGAAAATTTTAACAATGGCTACGATAGATACGGGAGCCTTAAAAAGGGACATGCGCTGCACAAAGTGAACCATGACAATCTTGGATACACTGACAGGTAAGCGTACCATTAAATATAATACAGTAATAGTTGAAATGAAAGAAAAGAAGCGTTCATTTCCGCAAAAATTTAACAATTTTTCCTTGTATAGTAACAACAGTGTTTCAATAAATAATTTCTTAAGCATCGAACTATAATATCATAGCAGATAGTTTAAAATCCTTTTTAAAAGGATTTTATCATGAATAAATTGTACAATTATATATAAGTTAAATAAAATTATGAATTTTCAATTCAAGCCAAAAGTACGCGTTAAAGTGTTTATTATCTCCTAAACAATATCGAGAAATCCGATGACTGAAATTATTTGATATTATTAAGCATTAAGAATTATTAAGTAATATAAATTCGATTAAGAAATTGAAAAAAAACAGCAACAAAAACAAAAAACTTCAAGCTTATTATTCCTTTAACTTTTATTACAACCCTTCAACCAACTACAGCAAGAAGCATAAAAGCTCTCTGTGAAATTAATGAGGCTCGAACAAATTTAAGTCTTACCTTCGTCTATCAGATCAAAGCAACAACTTGCTTTATTAATCCGGGCAGCACAATGCATCATTGAGTGCAGCACTTGAAAGCAAGTGCGACATTCCTTCGGAATAAAGTGACTGCCCCTTTGATCTCTTTAATGAGCGAAAAACGCGCCCAAGCACATTCTTTCCTCAACTTTTCTTTTGTTCGTCTCTCGACTTGGCGGCCAATAGATATGGAAGCTTGAAGAGGGGTGGGAGCCTCCACGGTTCGTACCACGATAACCTGAACAACGGCCTAGAGAGGTACGGGAGTCTGAAACGTGGCAAGATCACGCCGACGATGCTCGAGGACACGTCGGATTATATAATGCCGATCGGCAGTCGGATACTGTCAAATTCCCTGAGCCACGACCTGCAGCACCACAGCAACGAACTTGCGGCACTGAGGCAACTCCAACTGCAACAGCAACAGATGCAATACGAGCAGACCATCGCCGAGACTGAGTGAGTATCATAGCACCTTACCCTAACTATTAGCTACTTTTTATTAATAACATCTTATTACGGATCGCTGGTAATAAACTGGGACATATCGTATGTTTTTAGTTGGATGGAAAAGGCTTAAAATGAATTGAAATTTGACACGTAATAAATTTTTAAAGGGTATCACACCCAACGTTCCCCAATCATAAATTTCTCTCACGATATGCCAATAGTTGCTGCATTATAAAAAATTACATTTATCTTATATTAATATATAATTATAAAATTATATTTATTTTCGTGGAAGTTCAAACATATAAATTTTTCCTGCACTATCAATACAATGGATTGATGATCAATGATTGATCATTGTTGAAAAGCAATAATTCGCATGAATCGAAAATGTCTTATTGATAATATAAATAATGCATAAGAACAAATTTTCAAAAATGCTGCAATAAATCATACAAATTTCGTATTATTTATGTGCCCATTGAAATATTGAATTCTTTAAACTGAACCAAATATAAAATAAATAATTTCTTTCTATTTAAATGTATTATGTTAATTAATCACTAAAATGTAATCGGTAATAATATCATATGAATGTAAAAATTATGTAATATTGTAGTTTTATTAAATCGACCATAACTGGTGTTGGTATAATTATCATTTATTTAAATTTTTTCATACTACTTGGCTTGGATTTAAAACAACTAACAGTGAAGAGGTGAGCTTTCTATTTTAAGTCTTGCTTTAATTAATTTATATTTAAATTCATACTTATGAGTAATTTTTTTTTTTTTTCAATTATTCATATTGCCCTTAATATATAAGCATTAAAATGAAAGTATTAAAATCATTTAGTATTTAAATGAGATGCTTTAATCGTATTAAATGAGTCGTTAATGAATTTTACGACTATGCATGATTCCTTAATTTTATAAATAAAACCTAATTATTAAGCCAGTTTATTAAAGTATATTTCATTATTTCAGGAAGGATATTAGTAATGCAGAAACGTCAGTATGATAATCTTGTCTATGCAACAAACGAACACAAGAAACAAAGCAACAAAATTTCGTACAAACTTACAGAGTTAAATATTTTAGTCTTAGCCATTTTACACGTAAAAAATTAATATTAAGCTTAACATTGTAAGCGTTGGCCATGACCGTACATAAAATGATGCAGCCATATATATATTTTATTGCACGTATGTGTGAGTGCCTGTTTATATTGTGTTTATGTTGTATAAACACTGGAAGGAAATGTTTGTAATTTTTGTTAATTTAAGAATGCAGGATTTAATGTCTCAGTCATTTCGATGATGGTACATCGAACTTCTTAGACTCCAACCTGTAAAATATGATCTCTCGGCTGTCATTTTTCACTGATCATTTATATACCAACGAGAATTGTCATTACTTGTAATTTATGTACTTATTCAATGCTCAGTATTTGTGCAATGTATACATTCCAATGTCTTACCTTCTTTTATTTAGATTTTTACGTTACTTGTGCATTCTTCGCCTGCCTATGCAAACGTAAAAATATAAAAATATAAAGTATAACAAAGCGTATTATAACATTGTACTTAATTTTAATACTCGACTTTTGTATATATTTATATGGAGACATTTGACAAAATACAAATAATTTATATACCTTAATTGGATTATTCTTTTCTTCTCCTTCCCATCTCTTGTGGCATGCGCATTCGAAATCATATCCATAAGCAGAAACAACATTGGCATAAAAGAACTAATTTATTGATAAAAATGACTTTTATTCTTATTTGAAAATATAAATAAATTACAACATATATAATACTTGATAAAGTATCCTCGACATTGTAAACTTAATTTATGTATACATATCTTATAACATCGGAAACTACGTGCTTCTTCAGATCATAAAAAATTTATGTTTTCTCCATATTACTATTCACAGAAGATAAAATAACCAACATTCAAAGCGACTGAATATTATAAAAAACATTTTTAAGGCTATCAGATATAATCTAATCATTATTAAAAGTCATTCGATAGTTTCATATACTCATATTTTATTAATGTATTTAATTATAAAACTAGTTGAATTTCTATTAATGGACAGTCGAACGATGAATAATTATGTGTACTTAAATACGTATACATTCTTTTCATTTAACAAAAAATCATAATTATTTATTAATTACTAATTATACAGATAGAATAGTCAATCCCTTAATTTTCTATGTATAAATAAGAATATAATTAAAAAAAAAGTAAATAAAACAATTATTTATGTATATTGCATTCATATAATATACATTAAAACAATAATAATAATCTGAAAAGTCAAGTGAATACAAAATTATTTTATTCGTTACCCGTTTAGAAAAGAATGGAATCTTATCTACACTATTCACTATAAAAATTGTATATCTTAAAAATTGAGTTGTTTAATATTGTTTAAATTATCGTGAATTAAAATCAGTTGTTTCGATACATTGTGATTATTAAAATCTGATGAAAAACGAATAAAAATGTAAACTGTACATTGTTTGAATACATATAGCTATAACTATTTTTACAATTAATGGTTCCATTAATTTCCAGGTGACTTTTACGCTTGTAAATCGTTCTATATCCGAATAATTTTTCATTTTAAGTGACTAGACAGACACAAAATAGCCTTACATCATTATGTCACAGCAGTTGTAAAACCATATCCTAATGATAAAGAAAAAATTTCGATTCTATCTTTAAATATCTTACGTTACTTTATCAACTAAGCATATTTAGACGGTGACAGAATCCTACATGTCGCGCATCCAGTCACACACACCAGAATTCCTAGAATTCGACTCGACAATCAAAGTCACTCGCATTACGTGACATGTGTACTTTACGAAGCCGTTATAGGGAATGTTAATGTATTTTTTTCTTAAGCCACTTGTCTTTTGATTATGCAATTTAAAAGTAGAAACAGTGTTCCGTCTGTCGAATCGAATTCATTCCGGGTTACATCAACGATATCATAAATAATATTTCGATGAAATAAACGGTTGTCGTTAAAGTAAAATTAATTTAAAAGCCGTTTGAAAATATTTTCCAAACGATACATACATAAATGGAAAATATAAAAAAAAAGCATTAAAATGTAAATGCAATTTTCAGCTGTCACATTATTCAAATGGTTTCAAAATTTTTTTTTAAATATGCTTACCTCAGTGTCACAAATTGCGCACCGCAAGCATTATAATTAAATATGACGAGCAAAGCATTGGAAAATATTTGTCCGAGCTCGTAGCATTTCCTTTTTTTATCTCCATAATATCTAAACTACCGCTTGATCAAATATGACATTCCACCCACTGAAAGATCGATCGACATTGTTCTCTAAACCGTACTTTCCGAGTCCGAAGCAACTGATAGAGCTTGTAGCTTCGGCACCGAATAGTTGTCAATGTGCGCTACGGTTGATAGTCCATGATTGCGGTTGGTCGTGCGTTCCAGCGTCGACGGGGCCGATGGAGTGTCTTGGTGAGCTTTCGGAGGTATGGGTGGTGGATTGGGCTGAAAAAAATTATTTGCACGTTAGAGTTGTCTAGACCACCCTCGAATTCGCTTGAATATTTATTACAATTATCACTCTAATAAACAACATGCGCTAATACAAATTGTAATTTTTTTTTTCTTTCAATTACTTGAATCACTCCACATAATATTCTATTATTAGAACTCAATAAAATAAAATGATTAAGCTCACCAAAAAAAAAAAAAAAAAAAAAAAAATGCGACTTTTGACAAAACAGTTGATCTAATCTAAAAATGAATGATTTCGACGACATATATTTGATACGTAAATTTCAAAAATACAATTCCCTGGAAATAACTTTCAAAGAGAATTCATTGAAAAGAAAAATCTACCTCTTGGAAAATGACGTTGGTGAAACTGATGGTAGAAGTGCTCATGGCACTTATTACAGACGGAGGTGAAATATTCATGGTGTCGTTAGTTCTAGTTCGGGGCTCGAAATCTTCATAACTCAGATTATTGAGATTTGATAGTTGAGATTGAAAGTCCGAGAGACTCGAGAGCGTGGAGATGCCACTGTCACGAAGATCATGAAGCTCATTGGAATGACGCTGATCATCCTCGATACTCCACTCGGTATTACGCTTGTGCGAAAGTCGTTTCGGTGGTGCTGGAGGTGCTATCAAACTCGAGTTCAAGTCCCTCTTATCTGGTGCTGCAAAAAAGATTTAAATGACTAATTGTCAGTATATTTTTATTTATGTTTGCCCACTTATTCTGAGGAATGGAAATACAGGAATTAAAACTTTAAAACAGTACTTGAGTTCTTTTCGCTTCATGTTATTACTGCGAGTATTATAATTGCGAATGAATTGTTTATTAAGTATTTGAAACATGAGTTTTCCGTATTCGTGAATATTTTTAATGGCGTAATTGTTGAAAAGGAACTATTAATTAAAATTATGTAAATCCATTACATTAGTGGAATATTGAAGCTGAAACCAATTCAATGTGATTTAAATAAGTAAATCGGTTGATTATTTTATCAGAAACGAAAAGCTTTACAAGAACAGTAAGGAAGCTAACGTTTTAAACATCTATACACGTCTCGAGGTGTTGGAGCACCGTGATCATGAACACTAGTTTCAAGAAAACCGTGCAAACGTAAAGTGAAAGCCCGTAAAAGACTACTGCGAGGCGCAACTTCCAAGACTTACTGCAACCTCTAGGAGGTAGCGGTGGAGCGGGTTCGGAGCCAGGCTCGCTCCAGGAGCTTCTCATGTTGGACTGCTCGGAGCCGTCGGTGGGTGTCGACACGGAGTTCCTGAGCGCTAGCTTGGGGCTAAGGGGCTTGCTGAGGGAACGCTGATGCGTCGGCCTCGGGGGCGTCGTCCCATAGCCGACGGAACGTGGCCGCAGTTCTCGTTGGGGGATTGGAGGTGGAGCGCTACCGCTGCCGTTACTGCAGCCGTCGACCCTCGTGTAAAAGCCCTCGTCGTCGAGCTGACCGTCGCTGTCAGCGCGTGACATCCGCGCGGTCGAGTCCAGGGTGGCTGGGCGCTGCTTCTCGTTCACTGGTAGCGGCGGTAACGGCGAGCTGAAATATAAGACACGGCGTTATAGTCATAACGTTCCACTCATGAAACTCGGAATTACTCTTGGGAAAGAGAGCTGCACCTCCAATGTATTTATACTGTTGTAGCGATTCGCTCGGCTCTTCAATTAAATAAATCCACCGTACACAATATTGGTAATAAGGACTAGAGAAAACGACTGAAATATGAATTTCCTTTGTAATGGCGATCGAGTTAATTATATTATTTACGCATAAAATAAAATTCATTAATAATAAGTTAATGTGAGATTAACGTAGAGAAAGCTTTTTTTATTAAACTTTGACTTTGAGCTTGACGTCTCAAATCAGTGACATTTAAAATAATAAATCAAGCAATTTTGTTCAATATTGTTAAAAGTGTGAATAATAAGGATACGGTAAGACGGTGTCGAGTGTGAGTCTCGATAATAAGAAGCAGGAGGCATGCATACTTGATAATACTGTCTTGGTGCAATAGACGCTGCCGCGTCATCGGCCCTAAGCTCTGCTTGAGTTGGGTGAATCTCTCGATGAGTCTTTTGTGCAGAGGCTGTACACCGGTGGGTGCTATCTGTCCGTGGAGCAGTAAACCGGCCTCCAAGACACTCATCTGATCGAGAATGAGGTTCTTCAGTCTGTTGACGTGCGGCACCATCTCCGTGTTCAGTCTGGCGAATTCCGGCGTGAGGAAGGCCTCCTGGTACTTGGTTATGCCACCCATGACGTTCGCGTCTATTATGCCTTGAAGCCGCATGCTGAACGGATTGATGTTTCGGTGCGGCTCAGCCGTATACTGCGCAAAAATTACATTTACACGAGGTGCATTAAGCTCGAAAATATTTTACGAGCCGAGGCTCTTAACTGTCCCGTAGTGGACGTCAAGTCCTTTTCAACTGCTCAACAATGCCGACTCGGCTATATTTTATGCCGTGTGCTAAATCGATATAAGAAATCAGCTTACATCCTCTTAATAATATTAATATCGCATTAAATTATAACATGTCTCCGAAACGAGCCGATCACTTAGTTTTTTTTATATTTTTATTTATTTATTTATTTTATTTTCTTCTTTATTTTGTCGTTTCCAATATTAAGTTTATGTTCTGTTAATTAATAAGAATTCGTTGCATTTAAAGTACTCCTCCTTGCTTCATACGTTTTTTCTTTCTTTTTTTTAAATACATTTTAGACTCTACCGAAGGAGCTATAAATGATCGAAAATTCCAAATAAAATGGGTAAACGCGAATCAGCAACAAATGTTGGCGCGCTCACCTGTGCGACGAGTCGCCTTAGCTCGCGCTCGACGCTCTGCATAGTCTCGCAGGCGTACTGAACCGGGGCGAGGAGCTCCGAGCGCTTCTCGATGACCTCGAACCATCTAAGGATGCCAGGGAGCTTAGCTTCGGTCGTCAGAGTCGTCCGCTCGATCCACAAGGACTTAAACTCATTCTCGCGGTCTACCTGACCCCGATGGAGAGGCCGGTCGAACACGAAGCGTCGAACGTCGTTTACGAGATAAAACGCAACTACGCGCTCTGGCACCTCGAATTGGCCACAACCGAGACTGTCTTCCTCCGGTATCGGCTTCACATTGCAGATTTGAATGTCTGGTGATAATTCGGATATGATAAATATTATAAGACTTCACCCACTCCTGCACATACATTGGTTGCGCAACCGAAAAATGGAACAATTTCTTCTTCGGATATACTTAATTGTAAAAATTGATATATGTAAAAATGATTCAGTTACAACAAATTCAGTTGTAAGCCTGTACAATTATTTATATAAATAATGCAAGGATTAATGCTGTTTAATGAACCGAAGTGAAATAAATTGCACTCGATCGGAGCATATTGTAATAATGTTGAAATACTTACAATCTTGACTATAATATCTATGTACTAAGAATATTATATTAGAAACCTTATTGTATTATTAAACAATTATAATTTTAAATTTCATGCGAAACAAGGAATTCCTTAATTATATCACATATATGGTAATATGGATTTGAAGTTTATGTAATTAAGTAATATAATGCTTAAATAATTCTAAAAAATACTTTTAATATTTATATAAATAAAACTTACATTGACCTTCCGAAGAAAGAATTGTTTCGTCTGGCGGAGAATTTTTCATTAATATTTGCGCGCTTGGAAATTCAGTTTGAAGCCTCTGTGTAAATGCACCGATTCGTTCGTATTCTAGGCCTCGATAAATAAAAAGTTTGTTCTAAGCATAAAAATAATATAAAGATTATTATCAAATATATTTGTATAGAAAAGATTATATTAATAAAATATCGTATATTGATAATATATTGTATACAATAATTTTAATTAATAATGTAGATATTTCAGTTAAAAAAAAATATTATTTTATTACGAATTTCGTTGTGTATATATATATATATATATATATATATATATAACATAAAGCAAGTGATGCATAATTCAATTATTATCATATTCGAAAACATAAATATATTAAAAATAATAATTGACTAATACGTGAGTTTTGAATTTTTAGATAACGGAGGGAAGAGAGCTCACCCTAACAAACAGAGGAAAACTGAGTCCGTAAAATCCGACTCTGAAGTACTCGGGCTCGGGCCTGAGCTGTGTGAGTATGTTATCCAGGAACTTAGCTTGCACCTTGAGTATTTCGCTGAGCTTTGAGTAGTCGTAGAGCCTCGTCTCGTAAAGAATCGCAAGTTCCTTACAGAGGGGTATGCCCTTCTCCCAGCACTTGCCCCGGTCGAAGTAATGGATGATCTTGTGATAGAGGAGCTCTTTGCGCTGCCATTCCGTCTGTTGGGGGTGATTATGGTCGGCTGCGAGGAGGGTTGAATTCCAGCCAAGTTGATCGGCGTAGAGCTTCATTGTGAAGCCGGCCTCGCTGTAATTTTCCGCAACAAGATGGAGATCGTGTAGCTTGTAAATGTAGCGGAGATACATCTCCTTGCGGTTGAACTCATTCTTATAGAAATTCTTTGGGAAAGAGAAGAGAAAAGCTTTAATATTGCCTTTAGAATTAATTGTAGAATTGATTGATAATATTTGCTCTTTGCATAAAAATTTCTACGCTATCTTTTTTAACTGGCCAATGCTCAAAAGTTGCTAATTAAAAAACAAATCTTACTTGGTTTTATAAATTTGAAATTGTTTGATTGTAATGTAAATTACTGTTTTAATATTCTCAACATTATAAATGAAAACTGTGCACTATACTTATTTTTAATTTTTAAATATATCACGTTTTAAAATACATCAAATTTTTTTTCTTTTTTCAAATTGTAATTAAAGGTAAGTATTGTAATAATAAGTTAAATTATAAATGAAAAAATTGTTGGAATCTAACAAAATTCTATTTAATAAATATTAAATACATTACATTTGGACATATTCCATGGTAGAAAAATTTCTTGTAGTAATTTTCCAAGTAAAGCAATATAATACCGATATCGTCTCTAAAACAATCCGAAGAGCTTTCCTTTTGTTTTCGTGTTTTATTATTGGCCTTACGGGATTTCTTGCTCACGCGTACGCACAATGTATCCATTTGAGACTGCCGTTAACCATAGCGGATAATCTTTCGGGTTTTAAAGCAATGAGCATCCAGGGATATAATGAAATTGACACATCGAGTAAATGTTAATTGGCGTTTTTTTTTCTCATTACATAATGCATATATGTAACCATATTCACGCGTAGGTTATGTAATATAAGTAGAAGAGACATTCGTTACCAATAAATTGACGGTGCATGACATGCGCTTGTCACGATTCTCATCGCCTTGGATGACACTACGATAATCGAGTAATCTTTCTAACAAACGCGTGACTGAAGTTATGAAAGCGGTACCGCTATCTTTCCAAGTTGGATCCTCCGACTGGACTCGATCCAATAGTCTGAAAATAGATAAAGACATATCTGTAAGTTCTTACCTGAGTCTCTTATAATAAACCAAAATTTTTAGTAATTATAAGAATGAGAATCAATCACGATGTAATGAATTTTTTTCTTTTTTTCATTTAATAAAAATTTTAAAAATAAAATAAATAGTATCTGGACTTTATTATTGTTCTTTTAACATAATCGACATATTGATGCCAAAGAAATGTAAAATTAAAGACTAAATTAAATTTAACTACGTAATATGCTATTCGTTATTTTTTTTTAAATAAATAATTATACAAACAAATAAATAAATATGTGTTTACAACATTTATCCATGCAAAGGCGTACGTAGCTTATTACTACTATTTCAATACTATTTTAAAGAAAAACTAATACGATAGAATAATACTTAAATTTTATGTACGTAGATATAAAAAGAATATACCCCAAAAATTAAATGATAAAATATGCAAGTGTAATAGTGGATCTACTTATTAAATAGTGCTTAAATACAGTAGTTCATAAATAATAATTGATTTGTTAAAATAACAACATTTCTATGACAATTTATACATTCTAAATTCTTAAAAATATTATGAAACTTACACCGCACTGAGATGTTCCCTGTAGCGTCGTGAAAAAAAATTTAATTTTTGAATAAGATATCCAATTATAAGTAAAATTGTAATCATTTCTAAATTTACTTATAATAAATGAAAATTTAAATATATAATCACTAACATTGTGTTGAAAAGTTGTCTGTACTCGTCATCGCCTTTGTTCTCGCTAATAAGAATATCCAACTTGTCGATCAATTCCGACTCAACCGATTTAAAACTTCCTCGTGACCGCTGCTCACACTCCATCATATCGAAGAAAATATGAAGTGTGGCTTTTCTTAATTCACTTTCAGGCACGAGGGTGACTTCCAGAAAGGGCCCAACCATGCCCGGAATAAATTCAAGCTTTTTCTCGCCCAGATGAGACCACATCGACAAAATTTGAAAGCCCATTAACACACGCATGTCGCCATACTTTTCTATGATTTTCTCTCGTTTTACTTCGGAGAATTGTTCAAGCTGTAAAGATGGCTGAGTTAAGTAAGCAACAGCCAGATTAAAATATGTCGACCACAGCTGAGAATCAAAGCTTCCATGTAAAAATCTAAAAACAGAAGAAAAAAAATTGCAGTTTAATAACATTAACATACAATAATAATATGCCTCTGTTACAAAATGTTGCAAGAATGAAATTTTAAAATGATATTATGATACAATACACTTCATGTAATTATAGACAATTACATTGTACTTCATAACTCCCTATTAATTGAGAACTACTTTAGTAAATTGTCCCATGTATTATTATCAATTATCATTCTTATGATTAACTGCTTCATTCACGTCAGACTGTACTAAAAATAATCATTATTAACTGCTAATAAAATACCGGTTAAAATTATTAAATTATTTTGAATATTGAATGAATATTTAAAAACATATAAGATAATATGAATTTATCGTTATTTGCAACATTATATACAAAATTATAACTTATTAAATAAATATGTACCAATAATTATTCTGCTTATTGATCATTTCAAGAGAAGCTTTCGTTAGCATAGACTGAAAATTATTAATAATTACACTTTTTTTTAATATAAATTTATATTCATTGCCTTTAACATATTTCAGCATTAAAAATAACAAAATACTTTTATTTTATTTTTCTATCAAATAAAATTTAGAATAAAAACTAAAAGTATCTAATCTATTTGTAAAATATATTTCACAAAATCAATATAATTTGATATACCAAATGATGTGAGATAAACGATTACATTTACATTGTATGTAAAGTGCACTTTGCGAGTTATCGCGAGTCCTCTTTTTAACCGACAAATCGTGATATATAAAGCAGTCGAACATCTCTTATAATAATTGATCTACATTATTAGAGTTGTTATTATGGCGAAAGCTATTGAAGCGAATGGAAAAGCAAAATAAGATATTCGGAAGCTCGAGGTATCAGTTACCTGAAAGCAAGGGGTTGGGCGAGTTCTTGCAGGGACTTAAGAATTATGTTGTTCGCTTGCATCCTAATAACCAACCAGTCCGGAGGGAAGATCTCCTGTCTAACGAGCTCCCGCAACACCAGGAAAACTCTGAGCAGAAAGTCTTTGAGGGGCTTTCTCTCGCCCCCGAGGGTCAGCTCATCCCATAACCTTGCGTAATGATACTCATCTAATAACTGCAACAGTCCCATGAGACAGGCAACGAGGCAATTAAGGACAGAGCCTCCGGCGTTTATGATAATCAGGATGGTCTGTATAAGGACGTCGAGAGTCGTCAGGCAAAGAGTTTCCACGTCCTGATGAACGCAGTTGTTGACCTTGCCCTCCCTCCCACGTTTGTACATGAAACTGAGAATTTCACCCAAGATCTCCGTGCAGGAGCGCAATTCTTCCCGTCTGGCCAGGTGGATCCTCAAGTGACGACAAATTGTAGCCAATAACATATTTCTGCTCTCGTCATCTTTGAAGAGCTCGGATGTCACCAGATTTTTCACAGCTTCCAGTTTGGCCTGTATTAGCTAAATGAGCAAAACAAACAATCTACATAATCGCTTACTTTATAATAACACCCTCAGTACTTCAATCAAATTTACGAGTATAATTTATTATAAAATTATATTTGTATATGAGTGAGTTTCTTTCGAAACAGTTGTGTCGAGGGTATTGTGGAGGGGACAGAACTTCATATAAACGAAATATATTAAACAAAAATGGTAAATGAACATTACATCTGTTACAATCGAATATAAATCATTGTAAATACAAAAGTATTGAATTGGTAATAGCTAGCGAAATATAATGAATGTTTAATAACAGAACTTAAAAAAAAGAAAGGAAAGAAAGAACTTATAGCTTCGATATATGTTATTTTTCGAAAATCGAATACACAAAATACATACGCTAGTTAATTGTTGTTGAAAATACACTAATCACTCCTGTAATTTATATTTACTACATAATCGAAAATGGTCATATTTGTTTGTATCCACTTCAATTATTCCCAATTACATATCACTACAACTAGCAAAAAATAATAAAAGCTTCAAATATACAAATGATGGGATGCACAAAACTAAGTTTGTTACCTGCGGCGCGGAGTCCCTGAGTACCGAGTCGAGCATCGAGCACGTGAGGGTCGTCACCTCGACGATCGAGAGAACGTCGATGAGTTGCTCGAAGACCGCAGGTATGGAAAGCATCAATGCAACCTGAAGCGATAACACCATCTCGTATGGGAGGGTCAGCATCTTATTCAAGGCGGCGAATACGCAATAAATATCTTTGCGGAAACTGTCCTCGTACTGACCCGCAGTCGCCCTCGCGTAAAGCAGCCGACTTTGAATTATGAACTTGAAGATGTACTCGAGCGACCTGAAGCACTTCATTATGAACTCCTGCTTTTCAGGTGCCATCACGCGTTCGGTGCAGTGCTGAACACTGCTTATCAGGCCCTGGTACACGAGAGCAGCCGCAAAGTGACCCGAGATGTAGGCATTTATCACGGGCTTAAAGTGCTCGAACTTCGAATCCTCCAGTAAAATGAATATGGAAACCAAGACCTAAAGGTAGACTTAGTACTTAGTGGTAGTAAAACAAAAGACAGAAAAACAATTAAAAAAAAAACAACTCTTGAATGCTTTTAACGCATTTAAAATTACACGTAACATTCGCTTACTTCTCAAATGCCGCTAATGCCAAAAATTAATTCTGATAAATCCAAATGTTACCCAGGAGATAGCATTGGAAAATTTTGTGCTCCATCATTGCAAGCGATCTTTTCGTGCTCAATACTTGTAATACGAAAAGCTCGGAATCTCAGTAATGTACGATTAATCGTTCGCCTTCGTCATAAATTTAACATATAACATTCCAAGTATTTTTCTTCAGCTAATGTAAATTTATAGTCCAATTTATTAAACAAAATTTTCTAAGAAACAAACGTTCACCTTTACATAAATTCTTTATTAATAAAAAAAAAACTAATTAAATCATCTTAATAATTAAGAGAATGAATCAATGAGCGAATTATTATAAAAAGAACTCGATTAATGAAAATACCCTCGGTAGATAAATCAATATATTATCATCAAATGTCGATATAACATTCGCAATATTTACCTGAAAAACAAGTCCTGAATGGGCAGTAGAATTGCCATCTTCCGTATGAAACATGGCAAAGAGGGCGTCGAGGATATCTTGAAGGAACTTAACGAGCTCTTCGCCATCGAGGCGAAGAACACGGCCGAGAGCTTCCAAAATCTTTTCCGGGTGTGCTTTCCATTGAAGGAGGCTCAAGAGATCGACGTTCTGGGTCAATTTGGTACTGCAGAGTAAGGTTTGCACGAATACGGCCTCTTTAGCTGATCGAGTAAACGGCCCGATGCCTAAAATTTGATATATGAAGAATATGAGACTTGATGCCATGAAATTTCTTGCCAAATTCACCTTCAAATTAAAGGTAACGCTGATTATCAAATTTTTTTATCACTGTCTATCCTAATAATAAATATAAATGTTTCTTACTAATTGAGTCTAAAAACAATTCTTTTTAATGAAAAATAACAGAATATAAGATATATATAAGACGTATTTAAGATGTATATGAGAATGTACGAATTTTTGTGCACAAATACAAGCCACTATATTATGGTGAGGAAATTGTAATAAGGAATTATTGAATATAAGTGTTCTATATTAATTATTCTAATTTTACGAACTCTTTTCGTTAAGAATTTTTTATTTTATATTCGAGACACATTCGAAATTACGAGCTTTTACACAAGCTTTAACATAAAAGGGAAAAAATACTTAAGGAACAAAAGAAAGGAAAGATCGTTAAATATAGAAAGAGGCAAGTACTGTACCTGGATAATTTGGCTCACGAGCATTGCTTGGCATGGAAAGGTAGTTGAGCGATTCCAATTTTGCGCGCTCTTCACATTTGTAAATGTAGAGTTCGTGCAGACCGTCTTGAAGGGTCGCACCTCCCGTCTCCATCAGTCGTACGAAGGCGAAGGCGAAGAGCTTTTTGTCATTCTTCTCGCGCGCTTAAGAAAAACGACAGACATTGATATAAATAATGTCCGACTTTTGACCAAGTATAAATATGCCATGACTTTTCACCAAGCAGATTTTTCAATATGATTAAAAAAAATTTTATTATGACAGTAATTAGTTGAAAAAGCAAATCTAGCGACCCCACTTCAAATAAAATGAAACAATAAATTACTTTTAACCGCATAAGTATATAACCATTAATTAAGTTAAATAATAATTCTTATTAATTTCATAATCATTAATTTTAAGTTAAACATAAGATTGTATAGAGAAAGGCGTGGAGTTGTTGTCATTTACACGCTTATTATTATAAACGGGAGTGTGAAATACGATTGAATAATAAACGTACGTTCTTAGAACTTCTATAAAATAATAATGTTACATCTACATATCAATCATAACGAAATATAAAGTTCGGTGTCACTTTTGATTAAAAATTTTAACGATAACAATACTTACTAGAACAATGACGAAATTCGAAACGAACATGACTGCCGTAGAATTTATCAATAGGTACAGCGAGTCTCACAGTTTCAGCCCACGACGGACTGTTATGATGATAAATTACTAAGCTTTGGTACTCTGAACTTCCATCCATTCCAGCTGCTCCAAAAAGGCAGCCTTCCAGTGGTTGGCCATCGGCATCCAATACCATAACAGTTACCTACAAAAGGAATACGTACAATTTTGCTGATTTATGGCATCGTTTAACTATTACAACTGTTACACAACCAGAATGTATAATATACGTAAATAAAACGATAATTTATGAGATAAAATTCTTTGTTAAGTTAACAATTCTAAATTAATAAGCTGATCGTTTAAGTATATAATATTAAATGAACTTTTTCAATGAAAATAAAAAAAAAGTCTATGGTAATTAAGTGAAATCTGAGTATTCTGAAAGCTTCTGTATTAATTAGTTTTAAAGTACAGATGAACGAACCTATGAAAAACAATGAAGTTTCTCCAAACCTCTTAATATAGAAATTAAACTCATGAAACTTATAATGTCTGTTTTTAAAAATAATTTTTTTTTTAATATATCGATTCATATTTCGCTTGATTTTTAATTAATTTACTTTAAATCCAAATAAAATGTTTGCTTTGGTATTTTTATTATTATTATTAATCTGAGCTTAAGTAATACAGATTTGTATTATATTGATGATTTGTTTATAAAATCTAATGATTTTATACGTAGAAAATTTTTTATTTTCTATTAGCTCATGAAACAGTAAAAAAACTCAAGAAATTGTTTCAAATTTCTTATATTATTTTAATCAACTATTTGATAAATATTTAACTGAAATCAACTTATAACAAATATCAAATTCATTTATTCATAAATTTGAAAAAATATTTTGGAAAAAAAATATCGAAGCTTTACATATCCATATTTTCCAGAATTTCTCTACGTACTGTTAAATCATTTTCAAATAAATATAATGACATTTTAATAAAATAATTAAAATAATAATTTAATATTTAAAAATTATAACAAATAGTTATATATTAATTGCTTATTAATTATATATTAACACATTTATGCTTACCAATTCGTATACTTTATTAAAAAATTACTTTTAGATTTTGAACCTTTTTTTGTCTTTTTTTTCATTATTACAATAATATTCTGTAGATAATTACAACAAATGAAATTAAAGAACATATTTATACATTTGTACATGCGATCAATTTTGAACGTAAAGCAAGTATATAATTTAAATTTAAATCTTTGGTTTCTATTTTTGATATTTAATACAGAATTTTAAAACTTTGAAATATTTTAAATACAAGCTATTCTTCAGTCGGTGTTTATGCATATGTATATTCATATGTATATTATAATGTATATTATAATGTATATTATATTATAATGTAATGTATATTCCAATATATGTATGTTATAATACTAAAATCATTAAATACATATTAAATTGATTAAAGTGAAGATAATTTATTTAATGTACACCTTGTTTAAACTTATTACAAACTTTCGTGTCCTGCGAAAGGACCTCCGAGTATATAGTGGCAATACTTTACTGCATGAAAATTTAGAAACAAAAATATATCGAGCATTTACGTAATTTGCTCTAAGTACAACAGAATTGAAATAAAGTTTAAGCACTCCATTTCAAATCTTCGATCCCAGTTATATTTTACTTCTTAAACTGAGCTACATATTTCCCCTATCGTGATTGCAAAAGTCCAACCTCGATATTCTTGCCAGTGGATTTGCCGCCGCGCTCGAACTCGCCCCTCTCGAGCTTCAGATACAAGTCGTTGCGCACATCTCCAGGCATAATGACATCCGAGAAGCCAAGTTTCTTTGTCAAGCAGATGTTCTTGAACAGGAGGGGGTTGTCGTCGCGTACCTGGCAAAGCTCGCCGTGCAGTACCCGGAAGGAGACAACGATACCATAATTCGGCTGGCCCGGTAGAGGCGAACACTTATTGTTTCGAATTATCTGCTCGTGGAGCTGATGAAACTCCTTCTCGTCACCCTGGTAGACCTGTTCACATAATCAGCAAACATGTGATATTAATTTATCTGAATACGTCGTTGTCTGCGACAAATATGTGGAGATTGCACATTATGCTGTTAATGCTTTAATTTAATTAAAGATTAAATTAAATTAAATTAATTAAATTAATTTTGATCCGTCGATATAAAATTCATCGTTTCGTGTTTGATATGGACTTCGATTTCTTAAAATGTAAGGCCCGGTTTTTTTTTTTATATAATAAAAAAGAATTTTTCAAAAATAAACAATAAAATTCTGAATTATATATAACTTAAAAAATTAACGTTTCAATCATTATTATTAAAATGATTTAGTACTTCCTTTAAGATTAAATTGCAATTAATATATTACAGTATGAATAATAGTTCTATCTTGTCTTATTATGAAATTATATATTAAAAATAGTTTTATAAACTAACATGCATTATTAATACACTTAATTCTATGAAACTCGGAGTATTGTGAAATTAATATGATGTCTAGGACCGTATAAAGTAAATAATCTCGAATTTGCACGCGCATAAATACCATGACTGGTACGTTACTCAGATATCAGCTATTTGCAGCTGCAATCAAACTCCCTTATGCGGTTTACTTTAACTTAGCTCGTTACGTTAAAACTTTTTTTACATGGCACCGATGTATATAAATAAACTGTTATGTTCGTCAACTACTGAATTTACAATTTGCATATACTTTTAATAAGAGTACGGAAAGTTTAAGTTTTACCGTAAAATTAGTATGAAAATTGAGTTGTGAGGATGAAAAAGCGATTCAACTTGCACGTATTTTGTAATTCTCCAGATACGCTTTAATTAATAATCTGGGAATATAAGAGCGTGGACAAAGTCGCATCACGATATTTATTAGGCCATAAATGTATCATTAGTAATGAGAGAATGGGATTATCGATACCTTAAAGGTAAGTTCAAGCTCCTCGGTTTGCTCTTGAGTAGCGTCGATTAAGGATAGGACTCCAACCCCATGTGGCCTCCTGTACACCGCCGCCCCAGCCTTATTCTTTCCAGAGTCCGAGTACAGCATCCTGCCGCACCTCATAACGTGTGCAACCATATAGAGATCACGGCTGAGGTCAGCGTTACCCAGGTCCGTGAATATTGTACAGTTGCTGTGCATCTTCTCGACGTAGTTGGAAAAGCCCTCTTTGGATATACGCACGAGGAAGCGTTCACTTATGTATTGGCCGCGCTTGGCATCGTACAACGAGAAGTAAATCTCCGCGTCTTCGCCAACCGAGTGCCCAAAGTCCCGCATACAGAAATAAAGATGGTGGGTGAGGACTTTCTTGTGCTCCTTGCGACGTAACGTTCCGCGCCCTGACGAGCCTTGAGAGTTTTCCGCGCTCTGCACATGCTGTGGATTTCGAAGGAAAAAATGAAGGAATTATTTGCTCATTCGAGACAGACTTTGCGCTTATCTCATTGAGCGTTCGTAATCGAGGAATTAAATATACTTTAGCAAAGCTTGAGACACTTAACAGTTGCGCATCATTGCGCCAAATTTTTTAATAGTTAACAAATTTAACTTTTAAACCTCTTTAAAAGATTTATTATATAGTGTTCTTGTTTCTAAAAGCAACTTTCTTTTAAAAGCAAATGTATTAAAACTTTCATAAATCCGGATGGAATGGAAGTTTATAGCAATCCCAATCGAGTCCTTTCACGATTTATTGATCTATATACTAAACTTTATACGAATGACGATAAAAGTATTCATAAAATTTTGAAATCTTTTTTCTTCCACTTTTCTTCACTCTCTTTATATAAAATTCTGTAATATAGCTTAAAACGTGGCTTACAAAATTATTATTTCGTAAAATGCATCATCTTTTTCAACATAAACTTTAATTTTCATTTATATAATATGTAAATATGTAAATATGTAATTTTATATTACATTATTTATAAATTACATTTAAAAAGTTATAAATTGTTTAAAATTAAATTATTAAAATAATAATTGAACTAAAGAATGGAATTGAAGATTTATATAAATATATATATATATATATATATATATATATATATATATATATATATACTGAATGAATACGCCTATGATAGAAAATACATCGTTTCAATCTCTAAACGAATAACTTATCCAAATCTTCATTTTATTCTACTATTTGCATATTACTTTTGATATGTTATAAGTGAAAATATTAATTTACCTAATTACTAAAGTAATAAAAAAGTATTTTTTAAATAACTCGATTGACTGGTAACTTCTTTTTCATGATTATATAACTTTTATGCAAATTGCCCAAAAATTCGATTAATTCACCTCTGTAAATACAAATAGTTCTTAAATTGATAGAAAATGTATATTCGTCCTTTTGATATAAAAAAAAAATTATACAAATATTTTAGAGACCTACCACGTGATATAATTCGATGACAGACATGGATTCTGGGTCTACCATATGAGCGCCCTGCCGCGGTACCAGATCGAGACCAAGTTTCCTGAAACAAAAATCATAAAATGTTTATTATTGTTGTTCTTATCGTTAATATTATTATTAATATTTTTCAATAATAAATTCAGTATTTATAAACATCTTTAATCAAAGTAAATTGAATGTCGTGCTTTTGAAAAAAAGGAAACTGTTAGGAAAAAACGACCGCCGGAACTATCGGCGAAAAAGAAGTTAGTCGTCGTCTAAAATCCATCGCTAAATAGCCATTCCAACTTCCTCCGCATATTGGTTAAAAAAAGCGCGAAAAAATTTCAAACTAAATACCAGGTGGACGGTGTGCTCCTCCATCGCAGCGTCCGTGCATAAAAAAAATATCCCCAAAATTATCGAACGCAAAGCGACGGCGGCAGCGGTGGTGGTAGTGGTGGTGGAGTTGGCGGGTATATGGGGGGAGGGGAGGTGGGAGATTAAATAAAAAGCGCAGCAGCGCAGTCGGTGAAATGCTGGCGCAAAGAACCCGAAATTCGGGGGAGCCGTATTCGCCTCTGGCTCATCGGCCTCCTGCACATACAATTAAGACGTAATCAGCGCCTCACCATCCTCCTTTTATCCAAGGGCTCGCACGCGCTCGCCGAGCCATTATCCCGCGCTCCAGACCGCCGAGACTACTTAACTCTTTCACCGCCGCGCTGCGTGACTCCGTGCCCCCATACGCCTCCACCGCGTCCCCGCATATCTGAGCCTACTACTCGACGATAGGCCACCGCGCGTGTGCGCATTCAAATAAGCCGGGGCAGAGGAAGAGGACCCCGAACTTTTTATCGAAGGCCGAGTCTCGCGCATCGGAATGCGAACGCATTTCGGGTCGGGAAGTTGCACTTTCCATCTCAAAGTCGTGAATAAATGGAAAAGCGCCCGAGCATCTTACACAATGATAAAATTTCATAAAACGAGTTTCCGATTAATTTTTGCTACTTTAAGGTCATCGACGATTATAACGCGCGAGTCTAAATTACTGTGTTCTAGAAATATGTTTTTCTAATTTTAATTTTATTTTCTATCGCTTATTACGTTCAACCCGTAATAATCCCACGGAGAATTCCACTTGTATAAACTCGTATATACTCCGTGAATAGCCAAGCCACATGATAGAATAGATAACACATAAATATATTTGAAGAACCGTTTTCTAATATTTGTCCGCGATAATCGCCAATAATACATCACCATTGCTAATAACGGAATTTAAATTCTTTGAAAAATTTACAGCTTACGTACACATATTATTTCATCAAATATTTTTTGTATTGGACAATGACAGATATGGCAATATCAAATACTCAAATTTAAATGCAAGTTTGAAAGTAACAGATAGGATTGAAATTTTACAATATGTGATAATCTAAAATTTGCAAATGTATTTTCAACACATTTAACGGAGCCTTAAAACCAAAATCTTTTATATGGTCTTTTTAATACTATAATACCACGATTTATTATTCATTTTATTATTTATTAATTTGATTATGCGCTTTACTGCAGCAAAACACAGACAAAAAATTCAGACAATCAAAATAAATGAAAGATATATTTTTAATATATTTCACTGCAAATTTTAATGGAAGACGTTTCGTTTGTCCAGTTTGGAAAAGATTCAAGTTATTTTAAAATTAACAGTAATTCATTTTGTAAAAAAAAAAAAATAGTGATCGATGAGACCCGCTTCATCCATTCAATAATGACAAACAAATTTCATAAAATATTTTATATAACCCCTTCAAAGACGTTATATTATGAGGTGTAAGCATATTATAAACAATAGATCTGAGGAAATTTTGTATAACTAGCGAAGCACCTACAAGCAAATAAGAATTCTAAGAATAGAATAAGTCGGCAATCCTTCGTCCATTGCACAGTGAATTTCGACGTACCTTCAGGCTTAAAATATTATAAATCGAAGAAGACGTTGCGGAGAAATGGGAAGGGCCAGAAGGACCAAACAAAAATTATACGAGCAACGAGATCGTTAAGAACAGCATCCTGATAAGTTCATGACCACCCAAAAATAGTCGCCGGATTAAAAGAGACCACCCGAATTCGCTGAAATTATAAGCACAGTTAAATTATTATAGACGTTCCGTCCGATATAATCGCCGCTCATTCGTACAGAAAAATCAGAGTGCGCGTAAAAAAGGGAGAGAAAACGTTGACAAGACAGGTTTGCGAGAGGTCTTGAGGAGAAAGATAAACCACTGTGACATCCCCATGCTACGACTCAATGCAAGCCGCTGAAAATTCCGGTCGTGCCCCGGGCCGTTCATTGCATATCTCTCGCCTCCTTTGCGCTACCGTACTACACCGGGGATCATCCACCCCCACACTTGCCTCTAGTAGAATTCCGCTCGGCATCTTCGTGGTGCCTCTGTAATGACTGGGCGATGGATTTTAGATGGCTAAGGGCCTAGGACGTGGTTCGACCAATGGTCCATGACCTGGGCGACGTGTGAAAGCGCCATTTAAACTCACAGCATTCATCTGGGGTGGACACTTTTGAAACAGTGATTTGGTTTTTAGGTACAAAAATCTATAAGAAAATATTATTCGATAATATTGATAGGTGTATCCCAATTTTTACGCGATGATGATTGTGCGTGCTTATTAGCGAGCGTTGTATAACTTTATGCCATACTACTTTATGTCATGGACTATAACGATGTATTTAAGAATTCAATATAAAATAATATATAGAATGTCAAAAATGTCTTTAATAATGACGTATTAGAAGCTCAAGAGTATAAGAATGTATCTATCAAATTGTAATACCTGCATATTGCATAATCATAAATGAAGTAGTTAATGTTACTATAGACTTTGAATTTTCCTATACTCTATATAAAAATAATTTAAGCAGTGCAATTATAATACTGTAAATATAGTTGAAATAACTTGTAAATTTACTTATATTAATAAGCTTCAATTATATTATATATGCAAAAAGCGTGTAGAGAGGATTATAATTACACCTTTTTTGTATAATTACGAAAATATACAGTAAGAAGTAAATGCTAGGTTTTATAGAAAATTTCTAAAAAATGAATAAATACAAATACTGTATAATGACGTATTAAATGTAGTATTTTGTGATTGGATTTTTATTATCCATCAAACTAATAATTCAAAACAGCCTATCAATGAAAAAGAAACAGGATCCCTCCAAAAACCTCGTCACTGCTCATTTTGCTGTTACGTATTAAAGAAACGAAATATGAAGATGGAAAAAAAATATATATGTATAAAGCCAAAACAAAAGCTGCCTGAACAAAGAAAAAAGCATTTTTCATCGAACAACGAGCGTCATCCTTTGCAAGGCCCAAAAATCTTAAAATGAGCCTCATAAAATGAAAAGAAAGGTAGAATGGAGGAGCAAGGAACAGAAACTTTAAATGAAAACGAGGTAAACGGATAAAGGATGATAGTTCTGAAAAGACAGAATGAAAGAACGAGTAAGAGAATGAAAAAGAATTCATTTTTTCACTTAAATATATTGACTTTATACATTAGTTGATGAAATACTTTTAGATGATTAGAAGTAAAATATTATCTGAAGGTATTTCAAATTGGATGACGTTAATATTAATATTATAAAAGATTAATTTCAGAATTAAATATTTTTGCTATACTAATAAACATTTCTTTGCATAACATGAGCTAGATAATATATATATATATATATATATATATATATATATATATATCTTATAGCACTTATTTATTATATTTGTTATTTAATTCTAATATCCTTGTTCCTTTGTAAATAGAAACTTAAATAAATGATAAAGATTACTCTAAACTGAAATGTGAAAGTTTCGATTGTGAAAGATTCAAATTGCTGTTTTACAATGCGTATTCGCGTATGCAATGATAATTCCAACAAGTCCTAAATCTCAAATCAGTCGTTATTTTAAGAGTGCATATCATAAATTTATCCCCAGTCAATAATGTTCTGCCTGCTATTTTCCAGAACCACTAAACTCTAAATCAACTCATGAACATTTTGGTTCAAGAATTCTGCGGAATTCAAGAGCGATAAAACAGTGACCACATAAACGTTTTTCTTAATAAACAAAAATTTTATACACGAATGGGTCGATTCCCAGTTAAAATATGTAGATCATTAATAGCTATTGTAAATTTCGTGCGGGTTGAAGTCCGTCGAGGGGTTGAGTGAACGAAAGATAGAAGAGAACAAAGCGAGAACAAAAGCGCGTGGGCCAGGGTCCAACCGAGGGCGTATTCGATCCTGGTGGACCCAAAAGAAGGGCCTTTCCCCCGCCTCCTCTGCTCCTCCCACGGGTAACCACGCTTGATGGAATGCAGGTGGGCCCTCGAGCCACTTCTTTCTCTCTCACTCTCGCACACACACACACACACACATATACACACACACATGTACACATGCTTTCTCTGTCTCTGTCTCTCTCTCTATACACACACATGTACACATGCTTTCTCTGTCTCTGTCTCTCTCTCTATTCTTCTCTCTCTCTCTCAATATATATATATATATATATATATATATATATATATATATATCTCTTTATCTTTCTTTATACGGCAGAGACTTGAATGCGCGAAGACAGGTTCAAGCCATGTCCGCTCTCCGTCTCTTTCTCCGTATCTCTCTCTTTCTCTATCTCCCGCGCGTCTGTTACGGTCGAACCTCCCGTGGCGTTCAACCGCCGATGCCCTGGACTCGAGACCTATGCTCCATTCCGAAGATATCGGATACGTAACTCTCGCTTTCTCTCTCTCTCTCTCTCTCTCTCTATCTATCTATCTATCTATCTATCTATCTATCTATCTATCTATCTATCTATCTATCTATCTATCTCTCTATCTCTCTATCTCTCTCTTTCTCCATCAATCTATCTATTTATTTATCTAGCCATCCACCTCTCTCATTTTAGCTGTAAACATGCATCTACGCTCGCAAAAAGTGCAGCTGGATATATATATATATATGTATAATATGGGACGAACGGCTGC